CAAGGGCACGTACCTCAGTTGCGGTTGGTTCGGTCCCTGGCCCTGGTTCGGGTCGTGCAGAAGGCAACAAATTGATGTGTCTCTCTTACATTGATGTTTCTCTCTCTCTCTCTCCCTCCCTCCCTCCCACTCTATCTGAAGATAAATGGAAAAATATCCTCGGGTGCAGATTTAAAAAAAAAGCAAATTGAACTGAAAACGAAAGACTGGGACCTGGGATGCCTCCTCAGTGAAAGAGATCTTTTTTCTGGCCTCTCTCTCCTCTGGGTTCGAGGTGACTAGCAGTCAGCTAAGAATCCCTTTGTCTCTCATGTGGACTCGACTCTGGGAGGCGGCTCCCAGCCAAGGACCACGCTTCCCAGAGTCCCTTGCACCCACATGCGGCCCCTGAGTTCTCATAGTTGCTGACAGAAGGTGGAGAGGAGGGTGACCAGGGAAGGGGAGGGCAGAGATGCTCAGGAGGGCAGTGCGGCGTGGGTCAGATGCTGCGCCATGTCAGAATCACGGGGCAGCTACATCCAGAGAGGGTCTCCGAGAGCGGGGTCCTCACCCTGCTGGGTTTAAAAAGCCTTCCCGGTGAGTCTAATATGCAGATGGGTTGGGAACCAGGCTATGGAGGACACCTGTCTAAGCTCAAACCTGTCTCCCCAATAACAACTCTGTGACCCAGGCAAGTTCCTTCAATTCTCTGTGCTTCGGTTTCCTCATCTATGAAGTGGGGGTAGTCATAGTAACCACCTGCTAGCCTGTTGTGACAAGCAAGTGAGATCACGTGTGTAAAGCGTCCGGCACGCGCCTGACACATGGCTCACACCCCCCCATCATTACACTGCAGGAGATGTGGGGTGACAGTGGGTTGGTAGGAAAAGACCCCTTTCCCTGACTGTGCAGTCGCCCAGAGCCCCTTCCCTGCCGTCTTCCCAGGAGCCCCGTGGCCCCAGCCTGGCACTCCTGCCCCCAGGGGCTGCCAGCCACTGTGCAGGAGACCAGAGTTGAGCAACCTCCTGCCAAGGCCCTACAGTTACTTATTCCTAATTCTGAATAAAGTGTGAGTCAGGCGGGCCCAGTGCCATCCAGAGCTGTCAATCCCCACAAGGAAGACGGGCCTCTGCTTCCTGTCTGCGCCCAAGCCTCCCCCTTGATCCATCTCTTGAAGCTGAGACCAGGAGGTACAATCTGAGAGTTCCAGGACAGCCTTCCCTCCCCATCCTCCCAAACCTCACTTCCGGGTCACCCCGAGGTCTTCTCATCCTGCCTAAGCGACAAGCCCTCTCCTACCTCAGTGCCTCTGCACGGCAGTTCCCAGTGCCCGGCGGCTTGTTCCCCTGCTGGCTCACAGCTCTGCGCCATCCTACAGGCTCGGCCCGAGTGTCGCTCTCTGAGCGGTGAAGGTCCTGCTCAAGCAGGTCCCTGCCCTTTATTCCCTGCTCCTTACTCTCTCCACTTCATGGCTCTTTCAGAATTTTCAGGTATGTCTGTTTCTTTACTGGCTACCTCCCTGGATGTAGACTCCTGAGGGTAGAGATTTTGCCTGGCAAACAGTACATGCTCATTGAATGTTTTTTGAACGAATGAATGAGGAGTAGATAGAGTATGTTGAGCAAGCTTTTGCTGGGATAAAACTGGCCCAGCCGAGCAGCCCTCAGGCTCTCTTAGGACCCCCCATCCTGGCCTCCCCAGAGTCAAGGCTGACCTCTGTGTTGGAGGAAGTGTGTTTGCAGGGAGAACTAGTCCCCCACCCCCAACAAGAGCCCAGGGCCCTGGAAAGGACCAGGCTGCACAGCAGAGGCAGTCGTCCGAGAAGCCAGTGTCCAGTGGAGGTGACCCTTACCCTCCGGCCTGATGAGGCGGTCCCCAGTGCTTTTAGCAGCCACCGGCCTGCACCCACAGGGTCACCCCCAGGTCTCAGCCCAGCATCACTGAGGGTGCAGGACTGAGCACCAGCCCTGGAGGGAGGGCCCATTGATGACGACTTTCTCCTACCGACTCTGTGGCATTTGTCAAGTGGCCAAGTTGGGTTTCAGAAGCGCATGTGTGGTCCAGCTCATGGAGGCCAAAAAGCCCAGTCGGGGCCCCGCGGCCTACGGCCGGCAGAATGATAGCCCCCCAAAGATGTCCACGTGATAATCCCCAGAACCTGTGATGTGCGACCTTAATGGCCAGGGGATCAAGGTTGCTGGCGGACCCGAGGCTGTGACCCGCTGACCTGGGAGGGAGGAGCAGCCTGGCTCATCCGGGTGGGCCCAGTGCCGTCAAGGGTCCCTATGAGCGGAAGGGGAGGCGCGAGAGTCCGAGGCAGTGTGAAGATGCCACACCGCTGGCTTGGCAGCAGGAGGAAGCGGCCCAGGCCGAGGAAGGCAGGCAGCCCCTGAGGCTGGAAAGGCTAGAACACGGATTCTCCTCTGAAGCCTGCAGGAGGCACCCAGCCCTTCTGACACCTGGACCGGAGCCCAGAGAGACCTTTTCAGACTTCCGCCCCCACAGCCGCACACTGATCGATCTGTGTTGCATTAAGCGAGGATTTATTTTGCTTCCTCTCTGCAGGGGGCTCAGGCTCCTGGGGCCAAGTTATCTCCTGCACCACCCTGGAGCCCCGGAGGCAAACTGGAGAGCGAGAAGCCCCCAGGGCTGGACCCACCCAGAGCCCGGTGGCCAGTCTGAGGGACCCGGGGTGGAAAGAGCTCGCCTGGACGCTCATCCAGTTCCCCCAACTTGGAGCTCATACTTTTTTTTTTTTTAATCCTCACCCGAGGACATTTTTCCATTTTTTGTTCAGATAGAGTGGGAGGGAGAAAGAGAGAGAGAGAGAAACATCGACGTGAAAGGGACACATCGAGTGGCTGCCACCTGCACGACCAACCAGGGCCGGGGACAAACTGCAACCGAGGTACGTGCCCTGAGCGGGAACCGAACCCGGGTCTCTCAGGACCGCAGGCGGATGCTCTAACCGCTGAGCCAAACCGGCCAGGGCGAGCTTATGCTTTTTAGACAGGCACGTTCCCCACCCCAAAGCCTTGCATTTCCCTTTGTTTTTTCTCGTTTATTTAAAAAAAATTTTTCTTTATTGATTTTCAGAGAGAGAGGAAGGAGGAGGGAGAGAGAGATAGAAACATCGATGAGAGAACATGGATTGGCTGCCTCCTGCACGCCCCCGACTGGGACAACCTGGGCATGTGCCCTGACCGGGAATCAAACCGGCAACTTCTTGGTGCATGGGTCGACACTCAACCACTGAGCCACACTGGTCGGGCTTCCTTTGTTTATTTCAAATGACATTTATTGGGGTGACATTGGTTGGCCAAACCCTTTCAAAAACTGGATTTTCTCCACGCCCTCCTTTGTTTCCACTTGCCCCAGAGGTGGTCTTCTGATACAGTCTGGTCACGAGGGGCATGGGGAGCTAGTTCTGGAGAAGCTGAGCAAACGGTGGGGAGAAGCGGCGTTTGGAGAGCACTGCAGCATCTGCTCTAACCATCCAGAAGCAGCCTGGTCCTGGCCAGCTCACGGTTCCCGTTTTGCACTTCTGCAGAGAAGGGAGGGCTGGCCGGGTGATGAGCAGGGGAGTGACTTCCTGGGGCTCTGTAGCAAGCCCACCTGCCTTGTGTGGGGCTCCCGAGGCCTCCCCACGGGGAGAAAGGGGGTTCTGCGAAGGGCGTGCAGGAGGCCACCCCACACACATCGGCTTCCCCCATTGCCACACTCACGATGTTACCTTCCGGCCACAGCCCAGCCCCCTGCCCTGCCGTGCTCACTTGGTCCTGGCAGCCTGCATTTGACCCCTGGGCTTGCATTTATGTGCCCATGTCAGCCTGTGGCCAAGACAGAGCAACCTCACAGTCTTACCAAACTCTGGGCTCATCAGCCCCCAATTCCGGGGGGGCCAGGCAAGCACAGGCTTCAGCTGCAGGCTACTGTTCTCACTGTCATGTTCTAATCCCAGAGAAGGGCCCAAGTTAGACTCCAACCACTTGTGCTTCTGTAGGTTTATTAGCCACCGATGGACACACAGCTGGACCCACAGAGAACACATGCGTCAGTGACATCTGGAGAAGACCACCCGCTCCCTCCCTCTTCCTTGCCCCCAGAGCGTTCATTCACAAAGCTGTCCCGTTGCTGTCTCGGTGGGTTTGGCCCCTGCAGGCCCCTTCTGAGGCACAGCAGGGCTAAATCCTGCCAGGCGTGTCCCCTCCCGCAGAGGGAGGTCCCAGGGAAAACAAAGCACTTATATGTCATCGAGGATGTTTTCACCCCTGCACCCACCATCTTCCCAATCCCCAGGAATTCCCCAGATACTTTTTTGTAGAAAGCCAGATTTCTGAACGTCAGATGGTGGGGAGTTTATAAGGCTAAGGAACAACTATCATTTCTTCAACAGGCCCCCAGTGTACCTACTACGTGGAAGCTCATGCTGGGCACTGGGCGGGGTAGGGTTCAAGGTCTGGGCAGGGGCTTGGCGGTTGGAGGGATGGCCCCAGCCGAGCTACGTGGACCCCCGGCTTCCTCCCTGTGGGCGAGGCTCTGGGCGGACTCTCTCCTGTGGGGAGGGATCTGACTTTGGGGCTGTCCCCCTGCAGGGAGAGCGAGGCAATCCAACTGAAGCAGAATCATGGGTCCTTCCGCCATCAGGGCACACACAGGCAAAGGGGCAGGTGGGATACAAGGATGTTTCTAGACCTCGAAGTGAATTTGGCTCCAAATGAAGGATTTGGGGGTGAGGGTGTTTGGAGGAGCCCCCGTGAGTCATGTTGACCTGCATGAGAGGCCACAACAACAGAGGTCCTCCTTCTTGGAAGGCCAAGAGGAATCAAGCCTGAGACCCAGTGGGTTGCAGGTAAGGTGCGAACACTTGTAGGAAAAGGCTTCGGAGAGGGACGGGTCACCCTCGGCGTTCCACCTGGACACTTGGGGTCTCCTGACACTTACTCTATAGGGGCCTGTCTTAGTCTTTATTACCCAGGCTGATGTCCCACCCCAGGGGGAGAGACACCAGGGGCACAGGCTCAGGGCACCATGTGCCACCACTTGAAGGAGAAGGGCTGCCGGCGCACGTTGGTCCCGCAGTGCACCTCCCCGAGCAGCATGTGGTACGGGGTGAAGTCGTCGATGAAGGTGCAGTGGAGGCCCAGCGGCTCCAGCAGGGACCGCACCTTCTCCTCCAGGCAGCAGCGGCCGTTGATGATGGGCCCGAAGGGCTTGGGGATGCCCAGGTGCTTCCCCAGCACCAGCATGTTCACCTGCAAGGTGAGGTCCCAGGTCAGGGGCCGCACTTCGTCATCGGCTCCCACCCCGGCATCCTCACTGTACCCGGTAAGACCTGAGTTTGTCTTTCAGGCAACCTTGAAAATAGCTACTCGCCCTTTCGTGAAGTGGGAGAGGCACCTGGGCCGGTGAGAACTCCGGCCAGCTGCGCATTCCCATGGAGCATCTGCAGAGCCCACAGTACTTATTTCCCTGGCAACTGCTCCTCTCATTGGTGGAGTGTGGTGGCTGTCATACTTGTGCCACAGAATCCCGGGCCCTGGCCAAGCTGGACCAATCAGATTCTCCCTCTTGGGCACTTGAAGCTGACATGGAGGGAGAGTCTAGCCAATCTCTGCCTGGGTCTGTATCTATAATGTGTGGCCAGATTCATATCTGTCCCCAGGGACAGAGAAGCAAAGGAAGCCACGCTGGAGGAGGAAGGAGGAAGAAAGAGAGGGGATGAATGATGTAAACAGACACAGAGACCAGAGATGGTTCCAGGCGCCCCTATATTAGATCTTCCTCTCGCCGAAACGGGCTTAGGTGGCCCTCCGTGTCCTGCAAACACAAGAGTCTGAACCCACGCGCACGTTTCTGGGGGCGCGCACATCATCGCAAGGCCGCCTTAACCGTGCAGGAAGGAAGGGGAGTGATTACAGGTGGGGAAATCGAGGAAGGCAACACCGTCAGCCAGAAAGAGGAAGGAAGAAGGGGGAGGAAGCACCTTGGTGTGGACAGGCTGCTGCAAGGCTCTGATGGGAGGGTGAGTTCCTCCGGAGGACCGGAGGACGGAGGTGGGGTGGGAGGGGCCGCAGGTGGGGAGGGGAAGGGGAGGTGGAGAGGGGACCTGGGTGCTCTCCAGAGGTTCTACTCTAAGTGTGGGCCTCAGAGAGCAGCATCTGTCTCTGGGTCCTGGTTAGAGAGGTAGCAGTGTCTCGGGCCCTACCTCCGACCTGCTGAACCAGAACCCCTGGGATGGAACCCCAGTGGTCCAGGTGGTCCAGAGGCCAGTTCCAATTTTGAACCCTCGGGTCTCCATAAAAGGCTACTTCTTCCAGGAAGCCTCCTTGGATTTGCAGTCCTGCCTCTTAGGCTGGAAGTGCTTTGTCCAACCTCTGAACTGCCACATCACTTTATTAGACAAAATAGATCCCTGGGGCAGGTCCTCGGAGTGGGGACGCTTCTCCCTCCCCGGATCAGATTAGAAGCTCCTTGAGAGCAGGGAGCAGCCTTCATGCTCTCTGTGTCTCCCCCGGGCACCGTGCTATCCGGGGGATGGATGAACAGCTGTGTGCCAGGGGAAAGGGAGCGGAAAGGGCATCTCAGCTCCCCGCTGCTACCCCCACCTCATGTAACCATCCGTGCTCTCCGCAAATATCAAGGGGTCCCTGGGAGGAGGGAGGACTCTTCCCTGATGGCCCCCGAGCAAGGGGTTTGGCCAGTGACCATCTGTAGTGACCATGACAAGCAGCCAGCAGGGCTCCTCGCTTCTCTCTGCCACCCCACCAGCCACCGCAATACCAACCATGGCAGCGACCAAGCCTCTTGCCCCGCTGGAGAGGGGAGGCTTGAAGCCGGATCTGAGGAAAGCTTGTCAGCGATGGTGGACTCACCAAGTCCGGGAAGAAGGCCGCCGCCTTCTTCCTCTCCCGCTTGAAGAGCTGCGGGACGTCCACTATGTCCCGCTCCGCCAGGCCCAGCTCCCGCTTCAGCACCTCCCGGTTCCAGTCGATGCAGCTCTGGGGGAGGGAGAGGGTGGGGAGCCCCTGCCGGTGTGTGTCTGGTGAAGGAGGGGCTGCCCAGGTGCCTGGGGGTCAACCCCCACGCAAAGCTCATCTCTGCACCCCTTCGTCGAGGTACACCTGGGTCCCACTGCTCCCGGCCCCGCCCCACTAGCGGGGCTCAAAGTGAGAGCATCCCCGAGTGTTCCAGCCTCCACCCTCTCCCTTCTCTAGATCCTTCCCCCTTGGGAATCTCCTCGGATTCATGGTGAGCATCCCAGGGTCTACCTCCCAGCGGCCTGCCTTCCTCACTCAGGCGGCTCGCCACCCCCGCGCCCCGCCGGGCAGGCGCTGTCCCTGAGAAAAGCCTTGCATCTTGAATGCCACCTTGGCATTGTGCCTGCAGGACCTGGAGATTCTGTTTGTCCTTCCAGACACACCGTACGCCTTCCCTGCCCTGCGCCTGGAGGCCGAGCCCTGAGAATCGGGTCTCCCGTGCCCCTGGCTTCTGGTTGGGTTCCGCCAGTGGGGACACTGGCAGGAGGTGGGGGCTGGCCGGGGAGTGCGGAGGGGTGTTTGTTCCCCCAGCTGCCTCCCTGCCAGGTCACAGCTCCTGTCTCATATCCCTCCTTTCACGGTGACCTCTCCGGGGGTCAGTGACGGCTCCCTTGCCTTCAGGGGTGGTGGCCGCTCCCCTCTTTCTAGCCTGGGGAGAACGCACAGACATTGTTGACTTCCTCAAATGCTGCCTGTGCCTTGGTGCGTGTTCCCTCGATTAAACTTTTCTATCGTTATCCAGCTTGAGGTGTCATATGGGATCTACTGTCAGCCCCGCCCCCACCATGATGTAATGATGCGGTCTCAACACAGCCGCAGGGAGAGCCTTTCAAAGGCTAAGTCAGATCAGGCCCCTCTGCTCAAACCTGCACCCCAATCTCAGAGCCACAGCCACGTCCTAGTGATGCCCACAAGGCCTTGTGTGACCCCATCCACCTCCTGGCTCGTCCTCACACACTCTGGGCCCCATTGTTCTACTCAGGGCCACCCTCTGCGCTGTTCCTCTGCCTGGAATACTTGTCCTCCTCACATGCACATGGCTTGCTCGCTCATTTCTCTTGGTTCAAAGGTGGGGGTTGGGGTCCTCTGCCTGGGCTCGGTCCAGCCTGAGCTCCCATGAACTGTGAGCCTCTCAGACGTCCAGCCCCACCCCTGCCCCAGCCATGCCCACCTCCTGCTCATGGCCACGGCCCGGTACCTGCACAAACTTATTGTAGCTGATGAGGTTGTCATTGGAGAGGACCTGGTTGATGGAGATGGTTTTGACCTGCTCGTTACCTGTGAAGGCGAGAGGGACCTGAAGGCGGGGGCAGGGACAATCCCAGCATCGAGGGCCACCTGCTCTGGGAAGCAGCCAGGCAGGGGCCAAGTTCACAGCCACTGGTCTTGCTGAGTCAGCAGCTCCCTGACGTTTCTGGGCATTGGTAGGTATCACCCAGCAGAGCTCTGCTTGGCCACTGTGCAAGTCGGGGTGTGTGAAGGGTCGAGGGGGGAGCAGGGGACCGCAGTGCTACAAACTTGAGACCTTTATTTGAGTTCATTGGCAGTGGCAGCCCCTTTTATTGGAAATTTACTAATCCTCTCCCTCTAGGGCATTGGGTGACCGTTTCTCTTCTTTTGCCTAGTGGTGGTGGGGCTGGGTCACCCGCTGCCCATCAGCGCCAGCCCTGGGGGATGCCCATGGACCCTCTCCCTGCCCTCGGACAGGCGGAGCACGGAGCTCCCGGGAGGCCTGGCTTTCCCGCCTGCCTGGTGGGTGCCCGAGGAGACGGGACGGGACGAGCCAACAGCTCGCAATCCTCACAGCTGCCATTTATTCAGCTCTTACCAGGCGCAGGCCCTGAGGTCGGAGCTCCCCACTGGGCACCTCACTGAACCCTCACCGCAACCCCACAAGGTGTGCATTATCGGCCCCTTTGCAGGTAAGGAGGTGGAGGCTCAGACAGGCAGAGACGTGCCCAAGGTCTCACAGCTAGGAAATGGGGGGGGGGCTCATGATCAGACCCAAGCCCATGCTCACGAAGGGCCTCGAGACTCGACCAAGGGAAGAGATGGCTTCCTGGACCCAGTGCCAGCTGGGCACCCTCGCCCCCGCTGGAGCCGGGCGGCTGCGGTTCAGACCCGCTCCACGGCATTCTAGCTGAGGCCCCTGGGCCAGGCCTCCTAGGCAGTCTTGGGTGTCAGGGGGTGACAGCAACCCTCCCAGGCCCTCAGGAGGGTGCAGCATGGAGCCTGGGGCCGGGCACACAGTGGGTGAGCGCTGAGCCGCTCCGGGCTGCCCCGGTCACAGCTCGGGGAGTCAGCTCGCCAGGACAGCGTGGCGGCTGTGTGTGGCCGCACAGCTGTGAGTCCCCCTCTCCTTCTCGGCTTGGCGTTTGGAAAAACTGCTCAGCCTCTTCCTGGGCCTCGTTCCCTGCACACCTGGTAGGACTCCCGGCAATGAGTGTCGGCTCCCGCCTCCTGGTACGTAACGTCGAGACGTGAGCATTTTTAAGGTTTGGTCTGGGCTCAGAGGAGGCTAGTCACGGTCCCTCTGGGAGCATCGGGGTCCCGGGGCCGTGCTGGGAAGGTGGGACGGCAGTGAGCAGAGAGAAGGGGACCTGGGAGTTATAATTGGGAGCATTAAGTTCTGCAGAAGCAGAAATTCTGTCCAGAGCATTAGGCCAAGAAAATCTACCATCCCACCAGCCAAAGGTCTCCACTTTGAGACCCCGGGGCCCTTGTCAGAGAGGAAGGGTCCTCTAGGATCCATGCAGCCTTGGGATTTGAGAGCCATCCCGGCAAGCGTACCCGCACCTCGGCCCCAGCCAGCAGGGGAAAGGTACCGCTGAGGGTACTAAAATACAAAGCGTTTCCTCTCTTCTATGGTCTTTCTCTTGCCTTCCCTGACACGGTGTGTTTTACTTGCTAGTTGATGTCTCAGGACAGGGGGACACCTGCGGGGTGAGTGTAGATCCTCACAGCACTGGGCGCATGCGGAGCAAGTCGTGGGACCCTCGCCGAGCCGGACGTCCTCCCTTCCCACCAGCCCGAGCCATGGCAAACAGTTGATCTCCAAGGGTATTGCAGCCTCCACACTGGGACGTGCTAGGGGCCCGGATCGAGGTGGCTGAGAGGCTCACCCTGCCAAATTGCTCACCACGTGCCCCATGGAGCTGCCGGTGCAGGACAGGGACCACTGATGCAGCCCCACTCCCTGCCCAGAGGCAGAGGGGCGGGTGTGCCCAACCCTCACCACACCCAGGCTCCTGCAGGGGTCTGAGGACTGCAGCAGTCACCTGACAAAGACAGGGAGGGGGAGCCTGGGGCTGGGGCTCCGAGGGGCCGAGGAGCTGTGGCAGAAGGGACTCAACCCTGGAGGTGGCGGGAGATGGGACTGTTCATGGGGCCATTCGTGAGCCCGGGCTCCAAGCTCCCAGCAGGTGCTCCATTGACCAATCAGATTTCACTCACAAAGCACAAATCACTAAGAATTTCCAGACAGTGACACAGAGCATTAAACCTCAAGCACAGGGCCCTCCTGAGCAGAAGGCCTTATGGGACTAGGGGTCACATGCCCATGAAGCTGGCCATGTCCCCACTCTGTCCCTGCCAGCTCTGCCCAGCTGGGGCCCCGGTGGCTGGTGGAGCAACACGTCAGGTGGCAAGAGTGAGTGCGCCTGAATCGGGGGTCAGCCCTGCTTTACAATGTGCCCTCCCTCTCTCAAATCACAGTGTGCCTTGCTTTAGGGGGGGTTGAAAGATGAGATGAAGGACACTGGTACCCACCAACGACGCCCTCAAACAGGAGGGCCCTGCCGTGGCCCCATTTCCGCTTTTCCTGGAAGAGCTTGAAGCAGGCTCCGGGGCTGGCCAGGAGCATCCGGAAGCCCTGCGGGGAGACAGCAGGCTCGGCTGACCCCCTGGAGCCCACCCCGACCCGCACCCCCAACAGCCACGCCACCCGCGTCCTTACCTTCCCGTCAGGGGCAGGCACGAAGCTCAGAAACTCATCCACGTGGCCCACGGCCAGCCAGTCCACAAAGAGCTCCACGGGGGGCTGCACCCTCTGCGCGTGGAGGAAGTCCCGCACCACCTGGGTGACCCTGCGGCCTCTTGCCCTGGGCCCAAGGGGTCAAAGAAAGTAGTTTAACTAAAAAAAAATCTATGCAGAAATGGAAAGGCAAGAGTTCAAGATGTCTGCAATATCTACCCAAAAAACATGCATTGCCTTTGTAAGAAGGAAAGAATATATATACACACACACACACACACACACACACACACATATAGTCTTTATATATATAGTCTTTATATATATATAAATTCCACTCAAGGTGAGTTCTTGAAGAGGCAGACATAGGACAAGTCAATCATACCAGGTCACTCACACCAGGTCAGTGACCTACCCAGGTCTCGCCATACAGGCAAATCTTCAGACGCACCTGAGACCCCAACCTTACATTCTCCAAGAGCCTGACTTCAGCCCTGTATTCTATCCCCCATGGCTGCGTGGTCCTTCCTTGAGTTTATCTTACATCCCTCTCGCAGGGTCCTCACCCTCCTGTACATCAGTGGGGAGAGAGGTGGACGAAATCACCCCCGAGGGGCCTCATAGCCCCAGGACTTTGTGGTAGTGAATTTAAATCCCATTCTTCTTTACCTTCTGAGAAAGGATCCAATGGCATTACCCAAATGTCCTCTTTCTGTGAGATCACATGTTTGAGGGCCCTTAGGCCCCTCCAAAGCTTCTTGGGTCACCTGTTTTTATCCCAAGCCTGTTCTAACTGCTTTGCTGAATTTGGTTAGCTCTATGCGTTGGTCTATTGCACAGCAAATGACCATTACCGCAGAATTCCTTCTCTTTCCCATTGGGTTTACCGTATGATTCCTTCTCCTTTCCATCGGTACCCAGGTGTTACATGTTGAATAAGACATAATCTGTTATTCTGTGTGTGTGTGTGTGTGTGTGTGTGTGTGTGTGTTACTGTCATCCCACTTTTCATGTCCTATACCTCCCTTCTCCTGCTTGCAGGAGAAGATCTGATATTAGTCATTTACATCATAGTATAAACAAGTTGGGACTTAAATGCAATTTCTCCCAGATTTCTGTTGAAACCTAAAGCTTTTTCTTTTGCAACCGTTAATTTGTAGCAACATCTATTTATTTTCGGAATGGGAAGACCTAAGTCTAGTTATAACTTTGCATTCTGTGTTATCTTTCCAGTTAGCGCACCCTCTCTGGGCCCACTTGTAAAATAAAAGGGTTGAGTGACCTTCTGGGTTCATGCTCACACTAGCCTTCTCAAACTCCCGAGGTAATTGTGGGCAGTGTCTGATGAACAGCCCCTGCCTCCCTCCCGCCCCACCGCACCGGGACTACAACTTTATCACTCCTTTCTGGTTCTCCTTGAGGAGTGGAATAGTCCCTCACCGCCCAGCCACCATCACTACCCCCACCCTCAGCCTCCCTGCCCCTCGCTCACCCAGGCAGGTTGCCCCCAATGAGGATCCTCCCCAAGGGGTACTCTTTCCCGTTGGCCACCACTGGGGGGCTGACCTCCAGGTTTCCGAAGGAGTCCAGGCCACTCACAGAGCTGTCTCGTGGTTCCCGCGTCACGTAGCCAAAATCTGGACCCTGGTGGGGAAACTGAGTCAGGCTGGCTGAGGAGGGCGGATGGCTCACCATGAAGAGCTTGAAGCAACTTCCTGGGTTCTGAATTCCTTGAAGATGGGGCGGGAGTGGCTGCCCATTCTTCCGGTGGAAATACTGAGTCAAAGGCCGGATCCGATCTAGTCAGTATTTCATGTATGCGTGAGGACCAACATCGGGAAACACAGGCCCTTGGGCCCTGCTGCCATGTTAGAGCCTGTATTCCCCATGGTTACAGGGAGACAGCAGAGAGGCCTCTGGGTGCTCCTGTACCCCTGTTAGACACAGAGCCTGAGGCCATCACCACCCCCTTACTCTGCAGACTTTCTGCCAAGTCCAACCCAAGGGCAGGCAGCTGGCTGCTTTAGAGTGGCCTGTCCCTGGGGGGAAGGGGCTGGGGGTGGCCTTCTGAGCCTCAGTCTTCCAACTCTGGAAGAGAGAACTCTCCAGGGCCACCTCATTGAAGGATCTTAAGAGGTAAGAGCCCCTACCACCTGTGTGATCCAGTGGGGGATGGAAGGGGCCTCCCATTCTCGAGGCTCCAGCGGAGTCTCCCCCCCCTCCTCCAGGAGGTCCTAGTCAGCAACCACCATCGTCACAGTTTCTTATTACCAACAACACTAGCACGCTCCCTCTGCACAGACTCAGTGAAGCCTCGCAAACACCTGTGGGGGCGGGGAGACATCATTTTTACGGATGAGGAAATTGAGGTTCAGAGAGGCACAGTGACTCATGCAAAGTCACACAGCATGTGAGTAACAGAGCCGAGTTGTTCTGACTCCAAACCTGTGTTCTTAACAGCTGCACAGCCCTGCTTCCCCTGCCCAGTGCTGCCAGACTGAGCAAATAAAAAAGCAGAATGGTCTGGCCGGTGTGGCTCAGTGGTTGAGCATCGACCCATGCACCAAGAGGTCGCCGGTTCGATCCCCGGTCAGGACACATGCCCAGGCTGTGGGCCCGATCCCCAGTAGAGGGCCTGCAGGAGGCGGCCAGTCGATGTTCTCTCTCATCGATGTTTCTGTCTCTCCCTCTCATTTCCTCTCTCTCTAAAATCAATCAAGGAAAAAAATTTAAAAAGAAAACCAGACTCCCCAGTTAAATTTGAATCCCAGGCATACAACAAATCCATTGTAGTATAAGTATATTCCATGCCATGTTTGAGATATACCAAAAAGATACTCATTGTTTACATTAAAATTCAGCTGGGTGTCTCCTCTATTTTACCTGGCAACGCGACTCCTATTCTTAAAGATCGCGGTCCCGGTGTGGCCCTCAGGGTGATGTCCATCCACCCCAGGGCTGGGCTGCGCCCTGGACACTCACCAGGATTCTTTTGTAAGGGAAGTCCTGCAGTTCCCCGTTCCTGGGGGAGTCAAAGACCACCGGGAAGGTCTTGTGTGGCGCCTGGACATAGCCCAGCTCCATCTCGTCCTGTGAGTGAGAGAGATGCCCCGCTGTGGACAGTCGGCAACCCCCACGGCTGCTTGGCACTGAGCACTTTGGGGAAGACTGTCCACAGGAGTTCTCTGCCTCAGTGAGCTTTGCCCACAGGGGCAAATAAGGCAGGGATCACGCTGACTGATGGCTGGAGGAGTGGAGGCTCAGAGACAGGGTAGACTTGCTTAGGGTCACACAGCAAGACAGGTCGGGAATGAATGAGAACACGGACATGACCTTGAGGGTGTCCTCGTGCCGGCACACAGAGAAGGACTCAGGATGGCCTGAGTTGGACAAGTAAGCCGCTGGGCATCAGCCAACACCTCTGGCCTCCACCCGTGGTAATGAGGAGTTGACGGCTGGACAGGGCTGCGGGGACCAGAGGAGGTACAAATCTACCTCCGTGCCCAGGTCAATCCTGACCCCTCTGGTCCTGGAGGCCAAGATGGCTCAGCATAGACAAACTACATATCCAGTGAGAGGCGCACTAGCATGTGCCCTGCCCTGGGCTCTTTATGGGTAGTAACCTCATTGATTCTCATGACACGCCTATGTGGAGGCACTATTTTTACCCCATGTTGCAGATGAGGAAAGTGAGGAACAGAGAGGTCCAGTTATTTGCCCAACGGTGCACAGCTAGTCAGCAGCACAGCCAGAATACAATCCAACTTGTCTCACTCTGGGGTCCTGCGCTCAACCACCTCATTGGGTAAACCTCCAGCCATGACAGCTCCTTAGCTTGGCATTCCAGATCTCCTCCTTCAACTCTGACCCTTCACAGAAACTTGGCCCTGGGCATTTGCCCCCGAGAGCTCCTCAGGTGGGCAATGCCGGGGGGTTGTCAAGATGGAATGACACGGTGGTGATGATACCTGGCTTGCAGTGAGCACCCACTGAATGGCAGAAATCATTACGCATCCATTTGCCAAATCTGGTCCCGCTTGGATGCCCTTCCTCCTGGGGGTCATCACTGATCCTCCAGACAGAGGTGATGCCTCCTTGCAAACCTGGCTGGCAGTTTGCTGGCATCCCTGCTGTGTCTCAGACTGTAAGAGCTGGGATTTTGACCTTCCCATTGGGGGCATCAATGGCTTCTCAGCCTCAGCTCTATTGACATTTGGGCCAAACAATTCTTTTTCGTAGAGGCCAGAAGCCAGTGGTGTGCTCACCCTCAGCGGGGCAATTAAAAGTATCTGAGATGCTCAATATCCCTCTGGGGACGAGCCCACCATCCGCTGAGAACACCTGGTCCGGGCTGCCAAGGGTAGAACGTGTGTGCCCAGCCCGGTGCCGAGCCCAGATCCTGAGGGGGATGGGTGTTCAGTCCAGTGTTGGAGTGTTCCCGGGTCTCCAGGACGTTCTGGAGAATGGGGCAAGTCTGGGTCTAGAATTGGAGAAGCCGTGCCCTGGGGAGGCTGATCACAGAGCCCAGGTCCTCCTGCATGTTCCGTCAGCCTCCCTGCCCCCGGCCGGGACAGGCCAGCCTCCCCGTCCAGGACAGTGCCCCGGCTGGCACTGCCCGGTGGCTGTGTTACCTGGATCCAGCGGTCATTTCGGTTCTCGGCCTGCGGGCAGATGGTCAGCTTGCAGTCGGCCTTCCTGACCAGCTCCGCCACGGCATCCACGAAGCGTGTGTTGTTCCTCACGCTGCGGACAAGCCCGCGGAGGGAGGCTCAGGGCAGAACCGGCTGGGGCGCCACCAGGGTTGGAAGAACCCCCGGGTCCCCAGACTCACCGGCACACATACACCTCCAGGGGCGGCAGGGTGCTGGGTGTCATAATCCAGGGAGCCACACGGAACACGACCGTGTCAGTGAAGATAGGGGACTCAGAGAAATCCTGCAGGGGGAGAGCGGAGAGGACAGAGCCTGGCCTTGGGTCCAGAGGCCGGGGTGAGGCAAGAACTGGCGGCCCCGGGCAAGCCGCTTCATCACAGCTCCTGGAGAGGGACCAGCGGGCTGGCGAGCAGTCTAGGGTCTCACACCAGGAGTGCACGTCTCTCCCGGAGATGGCCCTTCTGTCACCTTCTCGGCCCAGCACCCCCTACCTCGTTGGAGTCGTCCAGCAGGGTGACATGGAAGAAGACAAGCCCTGCGAAGCCAGCGTCCGGGAAGGAGAGGCCCTCCACGAAGAAGCGCTCCTCGTTCCCGTGGAAGCGGGCCACCTCGTAGGACACCTTGTCCTGGCCAAGCACGTGCCTGTAGGCCTCACACGAGTCCTCGGGACCTGGGAGGGGACGAAGCAGCACCTGTGACTCCTGGTGGGCCTGGGGAGCTCGAGGATGGCAGGAGAGCTGTACGACCTCACCAAGAACACAGACCCGCCAATCCCTGCGTCTCACTTCCCACCAGCAAGGGGGAGAGATGCTTAAAATGCAGTGTGGGCCAGGCTGGGCTGGGGACAAGTTGGCGGCGTTTAATGAAGTCATGCATACCCCTAACCAGCAGTTCCACTTCTAGGTATCTGTCCTACAAAATACGTACACAGAGGTGTTCACTGCTTCTTTACATGTTCATTGAACAAATGTGTACTGAGCACCTACTATGTACCCATGAGGCACAGCTCTGGACTCAGGGTACAGGCATGAGCAAGGTCCCTGCCCTCAAGGAACCTACCGTAAAATCAACACACTGTCAACAACCATATGATCTAGGCAACCAGATAGGTTACAGCACCTCCGTGCTTCGGAATACTATGCAGCTGGGGAAAAGAATGAAGCAGACCAAATACACACACAGATAGAGGGGTCGAATATCTAGTTCAGTGAAAGAAACCAGTTAGAAAGCAGAATGTGTACACCACACACACACACACGGGCACATGCAGTGCATACAGAAAAGTTGGTTAGAACACATACCAAATCCCTAACAGTGAACACGTTTTAAGAGTCGGGTTTAGGGTTAGGGATAGAAAACTCTTAGTTTTTACTCTATATGCGTTTATATCGTTTGATCTTTTTTTTAAAAAAATGAGCATCTTATTACTTGTATACATTTGTATATTTAAAAGTTCTTTTAGCCCGGCCAGTGTTGCTCAGTGGATTGAGCATCATCCCATGGACTGAGAGGTGAGGTCCCGTTTCGATTCCCGGTCAGGGCATGTGCCCGGGTTTCGGGCTCAATCCCCAGTAGGGGGCGTGCAAGAGGCAGCCGATCAATGTTTTTCTCTCACATCAATGTTTCTATCTCTCTCTAAAAAAATCAATAAAAACATATTTAAAAAAATAAAAGGTCTTTTATTTTATTTTATTTTTTTTATCCTCACCTGAGGACATTTTTCCATTTTTTGTTAGAGTGGAAGGGGGAGAGAGAGAGAGAGAGAGAGAGAGAGAGAGAGAGAAACATCGACATGAAAGGGACACATCAAGTGGCTGCGACCCACACGACCCAACCAGGGCCGGGGACAAACTACAACCGAGGTACATGCCCTTAGTGGGAACCGAACCCGGGTCTCTCTCGACCACAGGCCGACGCTCTAACCGCTGAGCCAAACCAGCCAGGGCTAAAAGATCTTTTATATCGTTACTTGGACTTGCGATAATGGCACTGCAGCAATGTGAAGCAATGGACACTGAATCTGCAGGGACGATGCCCGTGGTGCCCGGGACTGGCTTAGACATACCTCAGGAAGCAGAGAGGACTAGATGAAGCAAGAGCCGAAAAGTGGTCATTGTTGAATCTGGGAGGTTGGCCTCGGGGGGTTCGTTACACTGTTCTCTCTACTTTTGTGTATATTTGAAATGTTTGAGAACAAAGATTTCTAAACATGCTCAAAATGTATTTTAGCCCTGGCCGGTTTGGCTCAGCGGTTGGAGCGTCGGCCTGCGGTACAGAGAGGCCCGGGTTCAGTTCCCGCTAAGGGCACGTGCCTCAGTTGCAGTTTGTCCCCGGCCCTGGTTGGTCGTGCGGGTGGCAGCCACTCGATGTGTCCCTTCACATCGATGTTTCTCCCTCTCTCTCTTCCTCTCTCTCCCTCCCGCTCTGTCTGAACAAAAAAAAAAATGGAAAAATGTCCTCGGGTGAGGATAAAAAAAAAAAAAGTATTTTAAACATTCATTCATTCATTCATTCATTCATTCATTCATTCATTCAATAAAACAACTTTGGGCCGCGGCTGGGCTGGAGATGCCAGCTGGCTGCTCCAGGACTCACGCATGACTGTCCCTCTGGCCGCCAGGGCAGCCTGGGAGCCTGGGCACGGCCCGCCCTGGCACAAGGCAGCGGGGAGGGCTGTGGACTCACCGCAGGCGTGGAAGACGCGCGCCCGCTTGGCGTCGTCGCTGGAGGTGTGCAGCACGAGCTTGTGGTCGTCGAAAAAGGCAGCGGGGCCCTGGGTCCGCAGGACCATGATGGACATATCTTCCAGGTCTGTGGAGCCAGACAGAGGATTTGGGGGAGGGACCTGGCCCACAGGCGCACAGTGTTAGCATCGTCCGCTCCCCTGGAGGGTGAGGAAGGTGGGCGCTTCTTCTGGCGCTGAGGATGTGGGGAGGGGCCGTTGCCACCCCGAGGCAGGTTTCCAGGGCCCTCACGGTGTGTCTGGGAGCTGGAACTCTGGCCCCAACTCTGCCTTCAGAGACATCCCTGTGGTCTGGTGTCCCTGCACGCTGGCTGAGCACTGACCCTGGACACCCAGGGACACGGGCTACCCTGGCCCCCCTCACCTTGCAGGCAGCGTATGTGCTGGTCACAGTTGTCCCGCTCATCACAGTTCAGATCGTCCCTGTCACAGTTCACCAGCAGGATGGCTCCATACCCGTCGGGCCCCCAGACCCACTGGCGCTGCCAAGGTCAAAGCAGAGCTGGTGACGGGGACTCGGACCAGACCTGCGCCTCCCTCCCCAGCAACCTCCTGGCTGGCCAACCCCACCCTCCCCCTCCCCCTAGCCTGCGAGGACAGGTGCACCTCCTGCTCGGGGAAACAGCAGTGGCTCCCGACTGCCCACATCATCGAGCCCACGCTAAGCTCTCTCGTGGCTGTCCGTGATGTGTCCCCAGCCAGTGTCCTCCTTCTCACAGGGGACTTCCTGCTTCTAAATCCATCCCTCCCTCCTGCCCTGGCTCCGGCGCCTCCTCCGCCTGGAATGCCCTCCCTCGGACATGCCTCAAGGGCCCAGCTCAAGTGGACTTTCTTCCAGAAAACCTTCCTCGCTCACCCGGCCCACCTGGACCTCCTCTGAACCCCGACTGCATGAACTCCTACTCTGATGCAGCCCAGGGTCCTTCCACAGTTCCCTTTACACCCAGATCAAGGAGTCAGCACACCAGGCCCACAGACCAATTCCAGCCCGTGGCCTGTTTCCGCAAATACAGTTTTACTGGAACACCATGATATTAATTTGTTTGTGTATTGACTATAGCTCTTTCACGCACTACAGTGGCAGAATCAAGTCGTTACAGCAGAGACTATGCCTTGCGAAACCTAAAATATTCTGTCTTTTTTTTACAGAAAAAGTCTGCTGACCGCCAACCTAGATTGAAAATCCAGAAGGACTTTTCCCCACAAAGCAAGGTCTGGCCCAGGGCTGGACACGCGTGTGCTTTATCATTCTTAGTGACGACTGTTCCCCTGGGAAAGAAGATCCTGGCCATGACTGGTTCCCGTTCGGCTCCCCTGACCGTGGCATCAGCTGGGAGGCAAAGGGGTACCGTAATGACCTCGCCTCCATCAACCCAGCCTGGAGCAGTTCCAAACTCCACACCCCTTTCTGGGCCCAGGCTAAGATGACCCACCTTGTTCACAGAGCTCCCGTTCTGCCTATCCTCACAGTTCAAGTCGCAATCCAGAGTGATGTCTGCAAGGGGAAGGCAGAGGGTAAGTCACCACAGGCTTCCCAGGAGGTCAACACAGCCCTGTGACCTTCACCTTTTACCTTTGCTCTCAGGGCTCACCCGGGGCTGGGCAAACAGAAGTCATTTCCAAGAAGACCCTGCCCAGAGGTGGGGGCATCTGGAGCCTCTTTCCCTGGGCTGGGAAAAGAAAGAGGTCTTGGGGAGGAAGCAGGGTCAGAGCAAAGGCCCAGGTCAAATGCTGCCTCCTCCAGGAAGCCTTCCCTGATCTCTCCCTCTCCCTCTTCTGTATCTCTACAGCCTTCACGGTCTGCGGCATGCCCTGCACTAAGCACAGGTTGGCCTAGACATTCTTGGTCTGTGTGAAGCTGCCTCATCTCCTTTGGATGGGGGAGTGAGCCTGGATTTGGGTCAGAAAGACGTGGATGGGAATCTGGACTCTGCCATCTGCCAGCTGCGGCCTGTCTGAGCTTCACCTTCGTCTCATTCTCTTCAAGTCCAGCCTCCATCCCACCTTCTTAACGTGTCTCCCTAGGACTGGGGAGACTGTAGAACACAAATGGGACATTTAAGGGAGAGAGGGAGGGGGAGAGGGAAGGAGGAAGAATTTGAAATCATTTTTAAATGTGAAAAGACACCCAACCACCACGCAACAAGTCATGTACCGTAATAGAATGTGGGCGAAAGAAGTCCCACCCAAAAGAATGTGGACCATATGATCCAGCCACAGGAAATTTCAAGAAAGGTAAAAATAGACGAGATTATTTGGGTCTGCATATTCAGGTGATAAAACCACTAAGAAAAGCAAGAAAATACTTGTCACAAGGTAGTGGTTACCTTGAGAGGAAAGAGGCCAGAGATCAGAGAGGGGTGTAGTTGGGGGACACTTTGGGGAGCTGGTCATGTTCTATTTCTCAACCTGGGCAAGGGCTGTTCAGGTGTGTGTTTTGTGACCATTTATTGATGTGTGCATAAAATAAAGCTTTATGTGTTTTCCTGTGTGTGTATTTTCCAGTGAACAAGGGTGTATGTGTGTGTGTGGGGGGGGGGGTTGAGGGGGGAGGCAGGGAGGTACCCAGCCTCAGTCCTAACTAAAGGAAGGCGAATTAAAGCAACAATGAGATACAACCTCTCTGATTGGCAAGGACTCCCACAGGCTGCTGGCAGGTGTATAAAATGGTACCGTCTTTTTAAAGAGCAACGTGGCAATATCTATCAAAATTGACAATCTAGCTTTGGCAGGTATGGCTCAGCAGTTAGAGTGTTGGCCTGCTGTCCAGAGAGACCCGGGTTCGGTTCCCACTAAGGGCACGTACCTCGGTTGCAGTTTGTCCCCAGCCCTGGTTGGGTCGTGCGGGTGGCGACCACTCGACGTGTCCCTTTCACGTCCATGTTTCTCTCTCTCTCTCACTCTCTCCCTCCCTCCCACTCTACCTGAACAAAATATGGAAACATGTCCTCGGGTGAGGATAAAAACAAAAAAAATTTACAATCTACATTTCTATAACTCATCAGTTCTGCTTCTAAAAGTGCCTCCTGGCCCTGTCCAGTTTGGCTCAGCAGTTAGAGCATTGGCCTAAGGACCAGAGGGTCACAGGTTCTTACCTGGATTGCAGATTCGCTCCCTGGCCCCAGTCAGGGTCGTGTGGGAGGCAACCAATCGATGTGTCTCTCTCACATCGATGTTTCTCTCTCTCTTTTCCCTCTTTCCCTTCCACTCTATCTAAAAATCAACGGAAAGATATCCTCAGGTGAGGATTAACAAAATAAATGAGTAAATAATAAAAATGCCTCCTGAAGATGGAGCATTTTCCTCTTTTTTGCAAATTGCTCTCCACGTGCTCGTACAATGCAAACTCCCACCCACCATGCAAGGAGCCCCCAGTTCCACATCCTCAGTAACACTAAGTTGAGCATCTTATCATTTGGGTTCTGATCACTGGGGCTGTCTTATGTAAATTGCTTGTTCATATTTTGCCTATTTCTATTCATTTTTATATTTAAAAAATTTTTTTAAAAGATTTTAGAGAGAGAGAGAGGAAGGGAGAGGGAGGGAGAGATAGAAACATCAATGAGAGAGAACATCGATTGGCTGCCTCCTGCATGCCCCCCACTGGGGATTTGACCCACAACCTGAGCATGTGCCCTGACCGGGAATTAAACCAGTGACCTCTTGGTGCACGGGTCGACACTCAACCACTGAGCCACACCTTCAGAGCCATTTATATTTTTTTTATTGAAGTTTTCCATAATCTCTTTACTCCAAGTAAGCCATCTACATTGCAAATTTCTTCTCCCAGTTCAGAGTTAGATGTTTTTTATTGTCCTTTGTTGTATTGACATTTTACATTTTAATACAGCCTAAGTTGCCCTGGCTGGTTTGGCTCAGCAGTTAGAGCATTGGCCCATGGACCGAAGAGTCACGGGTTTGATTCGGTAAAGGGCACATACCTTGGTTGAGGTTCATCCCCAGCCCTGGTCAGGGTCGTACAGGAGGCAACCAATCGATGTGTCTCTCACATCGGTGTTTCTCTCTCTCTCTCTCTCTCTCTCTCTCTCTCTCTCTCTCTCTCTCTCTCTCTCTCTCTCTCCCCATCCCTTCCACACTATCTGAAAATAAATAGAAAGATAGCCTCTGGTGAGGATTTTAAAAAAATGTAGCATAAGTTATCAATCTTTCTCCTTATGATCTGTGTCATTGTTTTGCCTTGTTAACAACAAACTTCACCTTGAATTTACAGATATTCTCTTCTAAAAGCCTTAACATTTTGATTTCACCTTATTTTTAACCCATCTGAAGTTTATTTTTTAGTATAGTATGAGATATGGTTCCAAGTTTATTGATTCTCATGTGATAACCCCCTGAGCAGGGGTCTATGCCCTGTTCTCTATTGATTCTATTGGTCTGTATTTAATCCTGCACCAATATCACATTGCTTCAAGTACCACAACTTGGAAGAAAGCTTTTGGTACCATGAATCCCTCCGTCTTGTTCTTCCTCAAAATTGTCTTGGCTATTTTTGCCCTTTGCTCTTCCGTATGAGATTTAGGATCAGCTCTATAAAGTTCTACTGCACAAACCATGTTGGATTTTGATGGGAATGCCATTGCGTTTAGCCTGTTTGATACTGTCCCAGAGCTGTCGAATCTCTGTTCTGTTGTTTCGTTTGTTTTGTCCTTTCTTTCTCTTTGTGTTTCAGTTTGGGTAACTGTTGCCCTGTCTTCAAGTTCAGCAATTCTTTCTTCAGCTGTGTTGAGTCTACCCATGGATCCATCAAAAGGATGTTTCATCTGATTTTTATTTCTAGCGTTTCCATTTGAATTCTTCTTATAGTTTTCATCTCTTTGCTGAAATTCCCCATCTGTTCATGCATGTCATCCACCTTCACCTCTACAGCTTTTAACATATTAATCATCATTACATTTTCTGTCTGATAGTTCCAACATCTGCATCATCTTGCATGGAGTTTATATATCAATTTGTGGGAAATTGGCACAAAAAAAATTTTTAAGTTGGAAAAAGCAAGGTCCAATTCCATGTCTATGTATGCTTCCATTTGCTTACAAAAGAGGGGAGTAGAAAGGTGTGCATGTGTCTACTTGTATAGCACAGCATGTCTCTAGAAGGATGCTGGGCCTGGGGAACTGGGAGTCCTACGTGAGGGGGAGAGAGGTTTACTTTCCAATTTACAGGTGACCCATGAACAACTTGGAAGTTAGGGGTGTTGACCTCACACATATAACTATAGTCAGCCCTCTGCAGACCCAGATTCCCAACTGTGGAGTGGACCCTTGAACAACACGGGTTTGACTTGCACAGGTTAACTAAACTATGCAGATCAAATGGGGGGAAATCCGTGTATAAATGGACTCGGGCAGTTCAAACCCACATTGTCTAAGGATCAACCATATATTCTTTTGTACTGTTTGAATTTCTTAAACGTGCATGTCTTTCTTTAATTAAAGAAATAAAACTGATTGATTTTGATAAGAAGATCCTTGTTCAGTGTCATTACCAACAATTCTCCATCCTGCCCTTGACCAAGGCCCCCGGCCATACCCTCAGCGTGGCCCCAACTTACCCACACAGGTGAGGTAGAGTACTGTGGATGCCAGGGGCAGGGGCTTGTTGCTGGAGAAGTAGGAAATCTGAACCTGTGGAGAGATGGGCCCAGGGCCATGTCAGCTGAAGCCAAGAGCCCCCCAGTCCCCAAAATACCAGCCTTGGGATAGCTGGCAAGGAGGGAAGGCGGTCTCAGAAGCCTCTGTGCACTAAACCTGTTGACTGGCTTTTCCTTTAGCCTTCTCTGTGCCATTTATTTTTTCCATGCCTCAGTTGGCCTGTTTGTAAAGTGGGAACTATTTCTTTTTAATTCTCACTCAAGGATATTTTTCTATTTATCTTCATATAGAGTGTGAGGGGGAGAGAGAGACAGACAGACAGATAGACAGACACCAATGTGAGTGAGACACACTGATTGGTTGCATGACCCCGACCAGTGCTGGGACTGAATCGCAACCGAGGTACGTGCCCTTGGCCGGAATCGAACCTGTGACTCTTTGGTCCACAGGCCAATGCTCTAACCACTGAGCCAAACCAGCCAGGGCTAAAATGGGAACTATTTCGAAGGGATTCTATGGAGACCTGCGTCCCGGTGCTGCCAACAACTACCATGTGATTTTGGCAGGCCCTTCTCCCCTTGGAGTCTCAGCCCCACCATCTGTAAAATGAGGAGTTAGACTGGGCAGGGTTTAGGGACTCTCTCCAAGCCAATGTTCTTATCTCTGGGACTCAGACAGGCCTGGACTTGAACCCAGTACCTCCGAGTTCTGTGACCTTGGTCAAAGCCCTTCAATTTTCTCAGCCACCCCAGTTTCCTCATCTGCAAAACGGGGACCACACAGATTCCTACCTCAGAGGATTATAGCGCAGCTTAAAAACAACACACGTAAAAGACTGATCTCGTCAAAAGTGCCCAAGAACTATCAGCTATTGTCCTTGGTGGGCAGGAGGCACAGCGTGAGGGCTCAGATTCCAGATGCCACACATGCAAATATCCTGGGAAGAGTTACTGTCTGCTCTGGGCCTCAATTTCCTCAGCTGGAAAGTGGGGGTAATAACAGTTCCTCCCCCGCAGGATTGATTATAGGTTGTGAGGACGAAGGAAGGAACTCATGGGACATGCTCAGCATGGAGCCTGGCCCACAGGCAGCACCCCATAACTGTCAAAGCTGGGGCTGAGGTGGTGAGGACGACAAAGCAGTTCGAGGTCAATGCATCAAAGCCACCGTCAACCCATGGGTCGCGGGACATTCTCTCCTATGGTTCCAACATCTCGGAGCCCAGATGAGGTCCTCGGAGCCAAGGAAGTTAGGGAGGGGAGGTGTCGTGTCCACACAGCCCCCAGCTCAGCAGGGTACCTCACAGGCTGCTGGGCCTCTTGCTCCGCCCTGGGGACTCCATCTTGACCATCACCAACGCTGCTACTCACCAGATACGTGATTTTAGGTAAGCCAGGCCTCTTCTTGGCCTCAGTTTCCCTTTCTGTAAAATGCTGACATCGAGTCCTGCCCCTCCTGTCTCACAGAGCTAGTGGGGAGGCTCAGCTCAGATGCATGGATGGGAACAGAGGCAGGAGCGACGGAGGGAACCTGCCCCAGGGGCCAGGCCGGTCTGTGTTGAATTCTAGCTGTCCTCCTGACTAGCCATGTGGCCCAGGACACTTTCTCTGAACCTTGGTAGCCCCCCCCTGTGAAACAGGGATCAGATCCTGCCTCTCAGGACTGTTGGGAGGGTTGGATGGGTCAGCACTCTTAAAGGGCCAGTGTTCCACATGTAAACCCGTGACTCCCATGTGCCAAGTCCTGGTTCCCATCAGCCATTTAAGGTGGCATCACCGGCGCCAAGCTCAAGGGCCACCCCATTGCTCCCACTTTCTAAATGTTGCCTGCCCTGGGGCCAGAACGTTGCCTATAGCTGGGGCTCCTTAAACTCACGCTTGTCAGCTGAGTGAGCAGAGGAGAGGGGAAGGGAAGCCATGAGCCTCTGAGAAGGGAATGAGGACAGGAAGAGTGGACGAGAGGAAGGAGAGGCAGCGGGGGGACATGTCACCTTGGGGAGGGGGTCTCCCCAGGACGCAGCATCCCTCCCCTGTCCCTGGCCCCTGCTTTGTCTCCTTCATGCAGAGTGGTGGAGATAACCTAATCAACCCTCTGCCGAAAGATGGGGAATCTGAGGTCCTACTTGCCAGAGGACACACAATTTGTGTGTTTAAAAAAACTATTTTTTTCCCTTTATTGATTTTTTTCAGAGGAAGAGAGAGATAGAAACATCCATGAGAGAGAACACTGATTGGCTGCCTCCTGCATGCCCCCCACTGGGGATGGGGCCGACAACCTGGGCATGTGTCCTGACCAGGAATTAAACCAGTGACCTCTTGGTGCGTGGGTCGGTACTCAACCACTGAGCCACACCGGCTGGACCACAATTGGTGTTTTTAAGTTGCAGACCTGGCAGGGCCTGTGCTACCCTGTGCTCCGGGGAAAGAGAGGGAGCTGGGCCCTTGTGAAGCTAGATCACTGCTCCCAGACCAGGGGACCCACTCACATGACTGTCGTTGAGGTCATTGCTGGGAGAATTCATGACCACGATGATCTCCAGTCCTGCATCACAGTGCCACCGTTTGGTGTCCGCATGTTCCCGGCCCCTCTCCAAGCTTGAAGAGACGTAGACGTCCACACCAGGAGTCCCATAGACCTCGAACATCTCTGAGCCCTCCGGCACTGACCTGGGAAAAGCAAGGAGCCATGGGAAGTGCTAGAGGGGGCAGCCCTTGTTCAGATGCTTGAGCTTTGGCTTAAACTCTTGCTTCCTCCAGGAAGCTTTCCGTGACCACCCCAGCCCTCTCAGATGCTCACAGTAAGCTCCCAGGGGTCAAGCCTGGACCCCACACGAATGTATACACAGCCTCGCATTCCAAGGCTCTGTGTTCACTCACGTTTCCCTTGTGAGTTTCCCAGGCATTACATGTAGAGTTAAGAACTCTGCAATGTCATTTGGCCCTGGGACTGTGTTTCCCCGACTCCAGCTGGTCTGAAGTCCTGTGTGAAATCAGTCTGTTCACCTTTTCATCGTCTGAGGGGTGCCCACTGCACGCACAGGCACTGCCAGGCTGAGGCAGATGCCCACAGCTCTCCCCAGAGCCTTCGATCCCACTGGGAGCTGAGGACAGAGCCCTGCTCAGGGCAGCCAGATGGGGCTCAGGGTCACAGGTCAGTGGAGTCCCGTGTCGGGAGGGCCACTAGAGCCGAAGGGACCAGAGGCGTCCTGGCGGACGCTGCGCACACACCTGGGGACGGCAGGAGCCGACAGGTTGCACTCTTGCTGTGTGCCCGTCCTGTTTGAGTGTGTTCCGTCTATTGTGTTATGTAAGCCTATCAATAACCCTAGGAGGTAGGTACTATTATTGTCCCCATTTTACAGATGGGGACACTGAGGGTAAGTAATTTGTCCAAGGTCATGGAGCTAGTAAGTGGCGGGACTGGGGTCCAAACCCAGGCCTCCTGGTTCCTGAGCCCACATTCTTACTCACCACCTCCCCAAGAAGAACAACAATAATCATAACCCCCTGCGGCCCTCATCCCCAAATGCTTATCCGGCCTATAAGTGACATGGCTCTGCCATCTCCCCTCCCAGCCCCATGATTACCTGTGTCCCAGCGCAGCCTCAGGGGCTGGGGCCCCAGAAGACTCCTCAAATGCTAAGAAGCCAGCTTCCTGGTGGTTCCCAGAGCCCCGCTCCTGAAACCCTGCCCAAACTCTCCTTTTCCTCCCGAGAGAGGGCGAAGGTGGGGCCTCATCTTCAGCCACTGGCCTTAAGGACATGGGCATACAGTAGGGGCATAATGCATGGGCACTGAGCGGCTGGAGGAAACCAGAGCCCTCCTCCTCAGTGGCAGACAGCTAAGTGCTGACCATGTGGGTTTAAATCCCGGCGTGGCCACTTAGTAGCTGTGGGGCTTGCAAATGGCTTGCCCTCTTGTGCCTCAGTTCCCTCATCTGTCACACAAGACGAAGCTAATACTGAACTTAGCTCTGAGGCTGTTGTGAAAGTGAAGTTCAAGAGTTACATTCCAGGGGCCTGTTAAGCTTTGAGAACAGTGCCTGGCACCAAGTGTTATCTAAGTAAAAGTAATTAAAACAAAAAGATTGACGCTCTGTTTTCAGGCTCACAGGCTGGGGGCGGGGGCGGGGATGGGCGGGATGTCTCGTCCTACCCTTGTGTGCTCAGCAGACCCTCAGCCCAGCCTGCAGGGTCCTCTGGGCAGAGAAAAGTGCTCAAGCCCCATGGCACCAGCACCCTCCAAGGCCTTGGCCAGAGCTCAGCCACGACAAGCCTCTCTACCCCTCTTCGGTCTCTCACTGTTCAAGTCCCTGGCTAGAGTCTTCAAGAAACCCAACTGCAAAGGCGAGGACCCAGGCTTCTGTGATTGACTGGTGTTCCAAGGCCCAGGCTCAGAAGAAGGCAGCGAGCCCTGAGGATGCCCTACCCAGCTCACAGGGAGAGCCCTGGGAGAGCAGCACCAAGGGCCTGCACACCCCGGCCTCCAGCTCTTACCCATAAATGTCCACGAGGGTCTCCACGCCAGCCACACACACGGCGCTGGTGGGATGCTCCAGGGACACACGCACGATCCTCTGCAGGGACATGCTGGCCTTGGACTGGGCTGGGGCCACAAAACCCAACACTGCCTACGCACAGGCCCCTTGGCAAGTGGTTTAAAAGGCCCTGGCCCTGCCCCTCCAGCCTGAGGTGCTAGCTTATTGGTTCAGTCCTGGAAGCCGAGCCCCTTCCCAGAACCAGGAGCTCAGGATTGGTGGGAAGAAACCTGACATTTGCATATGAACCTGTTGCTCCTACCCCAGCACTAAGGGAGTTAATTTCTTGCTGTAAAGGAGAGCAAGTCACCACAGGCACCTGACCAGGGCACCAGGGCCTGGGGGAGCGGGGTACAGATTTGTGCCCTATTGTTCTGGGTCCCTTCCTCGCTTTCCACTCTCCTCCTCCTCACCCCCCTTTCCTGCATTTTCAGAGACTGCATGCTTCAGTGGGGAGCTTCTCTTCCCTGCTGGGGGGCTGGTGGAATGCACATTCCTGAGCACAGCCCCAAGTCTGATACATCTGCATTTTTATAAGCACCCCAAAGAACTTTGATATACTTTGAGAAACACTGGCCTTTTTCTTAAGACTGTGGCTTTTAGAAGCAGGACTGGATGTCGGCCCTGCCACATCCTGGATGGGTGGCCTGGGGCAAGTCACTGAACTGCTCTGTGCCTCACTTTTCACATCTGATAAACGGTTGCTGTGCGGCTTAAAGGAGACACTGTGGGCAGAACTCTAGTACAGAGCTTGGCATTATTTCATTGTGGGTGTTGTAAGTGTTATTATTATCAGATCCCAAAGCCTCTGGAAGGGGTGAGTGATGAGGGCGAAAACCCTCTCTGACCAGGAGGAGCTTAGGATGTCAGAGGAGGAAGGTTCACTCTTCAGATGGGGACACCGAGGCCAGAGGGGCCATCTTGGCACTTGGAACAGCAGGAGCAAGGATTCTGGCGAGAGGAGTCTTGGGTTCAGACCCAGACTCCACCATGAATGGCTCTGTGGCCTTGGGGGTTTCGTCTCCTCTCTCAGGGCCTTGACTTCCTCACCTGTAGAAAATGTGGCTAATCACCAGCCCTGGCAGAGATAATGACAGGGACACACCCCGCCCACAGAGGTTTCGAAGGTGCTGAGCAGAGGTTTCCTCCCTTCTCCCTGGCTGTGCTGACAGTTTGAAGCAGGGCGGGGACCAGGATCCACTTCCGGGAGACCCCAGCTAAAGCACTAGCTGAATTCAAGGACCTCAGCAGGAATGTAAGCCTGGCAATTCTACACCCCAGTTTCTGAAGAATGAGTTCTTCTCAAGGAGGGCTGCTGGGCTGCTGGGCCCAGTGACAGCTTCACATTGTTGGCTGTAAATGTTTGTGGCTGTCTCCGCTCTGGATGAGAGTTGGAGCTCAGAGGGAAGTCCTTGTGAGCTCGTTTGGGAAATAGATACAGGAAGGGGGGGGCTCCCCCGGGCACTGGCCCACTGTGCTGGGGACAGGACCAGCCTCCTGCTCAGAGCCCCAACTCTCCCTTTGAAGCAGACCCATGCCTTTGTCTCTTCCCAGTTAATACCAGCTTTTAAGAACAGATCTGCGGTTCCTTCAGACTAAAGTGTCAATGACTGATGGCAAAAACATTTTGCCTCTTACTTCACAACAATAGCTAAAATAAAGTGAATGAGTGAGTAAGTGGATGTCAAAGGGTGCGATCCGAGGCAGCAGCAAGTGTGTCGGGTGAGAGGGGAGACAGTTCAGACCCCTGAAATCAGACCACTGAGTAACTTAGTGGCTTGAGAGGCAGAACTAAAAGGGAATCAGAGTGACATGTGGTCCCGGGCACCAGTCCTGCTGGGGACTCTCCCACCTCTGTCAACAGGCCCAGTCAGCTTGCCCTCTGAGAGATGGAGGAGATAGCCCAGGAAGGGAGAAGAAATGGAGAGGCGGGGCCCACCTCCCCTTGATAGCCATCTCAGCAGGGTAGTTGGCTCCAGGGCAATGGCATGTGCCAGCCACCCTCCTTGATGGATCAGCCTGCCCGCGGGCTGTGGTCCCGGGGTTCTCCCGGCCCGGCAGGAGCTGCTCCAAGGACCTGGTCGTATGGTGGGTAAACCGCCTGCCCTCCTCTCCACAGCCCAGCAAACAAGAGCTAAGGAGGCAGCCACTGTGAGACAAGCATGCTGACGCTTTTATTAATCAGAAAGGAGGTGAACAGTCACCTGGAACATTTCCAGAGGGGACATCAGTGTCCCCCAACATCCGCAGCAGCAATTCCAGCACTTCTCACACTCAGTGCCCCTCTAGAAGACTTGCTCCCCACCCTCCCCATCTCTCCGCCTGCCCCGTCCCCCCGCCCTTCCCTGGGGAGTTCCGACCCCGGCCACCACCCTTCACCCGTGATCTCCCTTCTCTTCTCGGCTCAGTCTAGGTTTCTTCGTGGTTATGAGCAGGCGGCGAGCAGGCTGGACCGGGGGCTTGCACACGGGGCTCCACAGAGCCTTGTGGAGGGGAGGGGAGGGTTCCCTGCCCGGGCCGCCTTAAACCAGAGCAGTTCCACGTTGATTAGTTTCCTAGTTGGGTTTCCATGGAAGCGGCTGACGACTAGGTGCTCTTAGACTCGATCTAGGTCTCACCAGGGGCCACTGAAACCCGAGGTGAAGGCCCAGGGGCTGAGGGCCCCCAGGCAGTGGGACCCTGCTGCCCATGCCTGTCTGGGCCACCTCTCACCCTGCACTGGCCAAGCCCGCCTGCCTGGCTTGTCCTGGAGACCTCACCCGGGCTGGTGTGTTAACCCCGGTGGCAGCTCCATCTCCCTTCTATCAGAGGGGACACAGGGCTGTCACGGGGGTTTACCCCCAGGTGGGACCCAAGCTACGCGCCGGGTCTCAGGGTTGCTGAGAGAGCCCGGGCGAGCCTTCCCTCCCACTGCCTGCAGAAGGAAGGGGAATAATTAGACACTATTAAAGGAAATTAAACCCCACCTTCAGAGATAACCTAATGGCCCCCCGCCCTCCTCTCACATCTGGGCCCCTCCCTGCTACATCTGGAAAGCCAGCCGCCTTGACATCCAGAGTCCAGGTCCAAGGCCCAGGAGCCCTGGGACGCAGAAGCCAGGCCCCGGCCTTTGCCCTTGCACCCCAGCCTTCTCTGCCCTCCGGCGCCACCCCTCCTGCCAGGCCCTCCTCCCTCTGATGCCCTCCCAGGCCGCACTCTGACCTCGGAGTCTTTTTGAGCCCAAAGCAACCAGCACTCATAATTAAAGTCTTTCTGAACAGATAATAAGCACCCTCTGAGGACAGAGTCGGGTACTAAAGGGTCCTGTTGCCTTTTTTCCTTTTTAGAGCAGGCTCTCTGAAGCTGCGTTCCCGTCTGTATTTGCCCGTGCAAACTCGGCTGAGGGAGGTCACAGCGCGGAGGACAGAAGGGTCGCAGGCCCCCTTCCTGGCCTTACTGGAGCCACAGGTGCCTAGATCCAGGGCCCTCACACCAGAGCCCAGGCTCCCCGGGCCCCATTCCTGGTGCAAACCCCAAGGACCTGTCAGGACAGAGGGGAGCCATTCAGAGCGGGGCGCCTGCCCAGGCCACGCGCCGCCATCCTTGAACACACTAGAGCCGCTGACCTCCAGACCCTCTGGGAGTGGTGGGCGGAGAGACGGAGAGGGAAGACCGGGGTGGCCCTTCTTGTGCGGTGTCCATGCCCGCGTCCCAGTGCCCGCGGTGGCCAGCACATTCGCAGGCACATGGGAGGTGAGCCCAGGGCTCCTCTGAGGGACGGGGGGCAGGTAGAGGTTCCTCGGTCTCACTCTGGCGGGGTTCCTGGCAGGTGGGCAGAGAGAACGGCAGGCCGGGAGCAGGCTCAGGGCACCATGTGCCACCACTTGAAGGAGAAGGGCTGCCGGCGCACGTTGGTCCCGCAGTGGATCTCCCCGAACAGCCGGTGGTAGGACAAGTAGTCATCGATGAAGGTGCAGTGGAGGCCCAGCGGCTCCAGCAGGGACCGCACCTTCTCCTCCAGGCAGCAGCGGCCGTTGATGATGGGCCCGAAGGGCTTGGGGATGCCCAGGTGCTTGCCTAAGACCACCATGTTGACCTGCAGGAGACAAGGCAAGAGGGAGGCCCAGCTGGCTGGGGACACTCTACACACGGGGGCCCCCTTGGGCCTGTGGCTCTGGCAGACTCATCCCCAGGGCCTGTCCCATCCTGGTCAGCATTCCTGGGCCACCAGGGCTGGGGCTCACTCAAGAACGAAGGTCTAGTCTGGCCAGTGTGGCTCAGTGGTTGAGTGTCAACCCATGCACCAATAGGCCGCCGGTTCGATTCCCGGTCAGGACACATGCCCAGGTTGTGGGCCAAATCCCCAGTGCGGGGCATGCAGGAGGCGGCCAATCAATGTTCTCTCTCATCGATGTTTCTATCTCTCTCTCCCTCCCCCTTCCTCTCTCTCTAAAATCAATAAAGGGAAAGAAAATGAATGAAGGTCTATGGAAGAAGAGAAGAAATAGATTCATAGTTGGTGGAAGAGAGGATTAGCAACCAGCAGGGTTATCAGAAACATACATGGGGAATTTATACAGATTAAAGACACACCTCCCTCTAACATTTTCTTCCATCTATCAGAAAATTGCCGTCGCAACTTGGTTAGGACAAGATTTTACCGTCGTCTGTCAGAAATGTGTACAACGAATATGCCATCCACACGGTCTGCAGCATGAATGCCCGTGTGTGTGTGTGTGTGTGTGTGTGTGTGTGTGTGTGTGTTGTGCACTTGTTCAAGGCACAGCTGGCTCAGATGGCCCTGGAGGCCCTGATCATTATTACCATGTTCTGAGCATCTGTTACGCGCCAGCTACACCATCACTAACCCTTGCAGCTGCTCTGAGGCTGTGGATTGGACAGGCTGCGTGACACCATCAGGGCCACAGCTGAGAAGGGGGGACTGAAATGTGGTTCAGATCTGACTCGTGCTCTTTATCCTCTGCCAGAAGGTAGCCCTTGGGCAGTGTGGGGGCTGAGAAGTTGGGGCAAGGGGCTGGGAGCCCTTGCAGCACCTGGGTTTGTCTCTGGTGGCATCTCTGCGTCCCTGTTTGGGGGCCCTGCCTGCTGCCCTAGAGGTGGGGAGGGGACGCCTCCCCAGGACAGGGTGTGGAGGTTCCTGAGAGGAAAACTCTGCCGCTGACTGATGGCCAGAGGGGCTGCCCTGGGTGTCTGAAGGGGATACGCTGGACCCGCTGTCCGGAGGGCAGTATTGGGTCCTCTCAGGGTGGGGTGGGCTGCCCTGGACTCTGTGACCTCACGTTCTCCAAGCCGGAGCCCCTCACCCTCAAGTCCTCCCTGCAGAGCCATCAGGCTGGGGCCAACACTAGGCTGGGGGGTCTCGCAGGGGCAGTCCCGTGGCCTTGGCCCTGAGCTACCTCAGTGAGCACTAATGGGCCAGAACATGCCAGGGGAGGAGGGGCAGCCGGAAGACTGGGGGGAGGGAGAAAGGCCGGATTCAGAACCAGGGCAGCACAGGTGGGCCCCCCCCAGGACGACGACCCCGGGGACTGGAGGCCCGCTGGGGACCTCAGCAAGCCAACCACTCTCCTCCGAGGACCTCAGTCCCCCATCAGACAAACGAGGGGTTACCTGAGCACCCCCTGAGGGCCCTGCCAGTGAGGACAGACTGGGATCCTTTAGCAGGTGTGGGTAAGGCCACGGCCAAAGGAGGGCTGACCAAGGTCATGGGCTCTGGCCTACGCTGGTCGGCCCTTAGAACTGCGCGCCCAATACCGTAGCCACTAGCCACACGTGACTGTTCAAATGAAATGAAATAGAAATAAAATCCCGTTGGCCACATCAGCCACGTTTCAAGTGTCAAGTAGCCACCCGGGCCCCGTGGCTCCCATGTCACATTGTGTGAATATAGAACATGTCCATCATCCCGGACACGCCTCAGAACAGTGCTTCTCAACCAGGGCTGATTTTGCCCCCCAGGGCATTTTTAGTTGAAACAAGGGGGTTGCTCCTGGCATCTGGCAGGTGGGGGACGGAGATCCCTCCATCCTTTCCCAAGGGAATAATGGGCACTTAGACCAGGACTGGCCGATAGCATCGCTCAGGCCCCGCCCAGGGGCCTCCTGGTGAGCTCACCACCTCTCACCTGCTTGTCAGCTAATGACAGCCAGGGAGGTGGCCGCGCCTGCCCCACCTGCCCGACCCAGGAGCCCCACTGGGGAGCAGAGCAGGCAGCTGAGGCCCCGAAAAGGAAGCCGGAAACATTTAGAAGCAAACCATACGTCCTTTTTCCCTTTAGGGGGGAAGACTGCCCTGCCAGGCGGGGCTGCCCTGTGCGCCGTGGGGTATTACGCAGCATCCCCGCCCCCACCCCGGTGCCCGCAGCACACCCCTCACTGTGGCAATCCAGACGCCCAGGCGCACAATGGCCCGGGGTGAGAACCGCGGATGGAGAGCCCCGGATGGAGAGCCCCGTGTCTGCTCAGCGGCCACCCGCCTCTGGGTCACCTGAACGCCTCTCTGGAAGCCCACTGACTCCCGCCAGGCCCCTGCCGGCCCCAGGACCTGGAATAACCCCGCGCTCACCATGTTGGGGAAGAAGGCTTCCGCGTACAGGCCCTTCAGGTGGAAGAGCTGCGGGACGTCCACAATGTCCCGCTCCGTCAGGCCCAGCTCCCGCTTCAGCACCTCCCGGTTCCAGTCGATGCATTTCTGCGGGAGGACCCAGGCTGGCTGAGCGCCCCCGTGTGCAGCCTCTGCGCCCTCTAGCTCCCTTGATCTTTGTGCCATTGCTACCCCCAGGTGGGGAAACTGAGGCTCGAGTACTTGCCCTAGGGCACAGGGCTCGGAAGTGGGAGAGCTGGGATTTGGAACCAGGCAATTTCTGGTTCCAGAAGCCCCTGCCACTACGCCACACGGTCCCAGGCACAGCGTGGCGTACGCCCCAGCCCACCTCAGCAGTTTAGGAGAAAGTGGGGTGAATACGGGGCAAGGAAGCCAGCCCGCACCCGGCATGGGACAGGCATTAGCCCTGCCCCCTCCTGAGACCCCCGTCCACCCAGTCTCTTCACCAGGCCTGCTGGACTCCCAGCACCCCACCCCCGCAGGGCCCTACTTTCCCACCGCATCTTCCTCATCTCACCAGGCCTCTGAGTGAGAACTCAGCGGTGCCTCCCTAGAAGCCTACTCGCTCCCCAGAGCAGGACCCGATCGCCCTGCTCAGACTGGCATGGCCGTGTCTCTCCCTCCAGACTGTGGGCTCCCAAGGGCAGAGGCCCTACCCGACCCACAGGTCTCAGCAGCCCCAGGACAGTCAGAGGCTCAGGGCGGACCCCCTCACGCCTGCCCCAGTTGTCCTCCCAGGAGGGCGGGGGACCCCCGAGAGCAGGCAGCAGGCCTGACCCTCACCTGTACAAAGAGACTGTCCCGCTGGAGGTTTTTGTCCGCCAGCATCTCATTAATGCTTCTCTTCACCTGGTGCTGTAACCCTGCAAGGAAAGAGGCCGTGCATGGGCTCGGGGGGTACTGCCTGGGGCCGCCTGGGCCTGGGCTTCCCACTCAGGGCCAGAAAACCCTCCCACTCAGTGCCAGGGTCCGAAGCAAGGATGGAGAAAGCCAGAGGCGGGGAACCCTGAAAGGATCGGGGTAAATCCGAAGGATGGGCCCTAACCCCTTGGGAGGGAACTCCTGGGCTCAGGGCCTAATAATTTCAGTACAGCCACCATTTCTGAATACCCATCATGCCCTGAGCCTCCTACTGAATTTATTTATTTATTTAGTTAGTTAGTCCTCACCTGAAGGTAGTTTTCCATTGATTTTATTTTTTAATTAAAAAAAATTTTTGTCTTTATTGATTTTAGAGAGAGGAGGGGAGAGGGAGAGATAGAAATATCGATGAGAGAGAACATCGATTGGCCGCCTCCTGCATGCTCCCACTGGGGATCGGGCCCACAACCTGGGCGTGTGCCCTGACCGGGAATCGAACTGGTGACCTCTTGGTGCAGGGTCGACGCTCAACCACTGAGCCACACCAGCTGGGCTTTCCATCGATTTTAGATAGAGTGAAAGGGAGGGAGGAAGAAAGAGAGAGAGAGAGAGAGAGAGAGAGAGAGAGAGAGAGATTGGTTGCTTCCCGCACAACCCAGACCAGGGCCAGCGATCAAATCTACAACTCAGGTACGTGCCCCCCAACTGGAAATCGAACCCGAGACCCCTCGGTCCTTGGGCCAGCCAAACCGGCCAGGGCTGAATCTGTTATTAACCTTTAAAACAGTGCTAGGTAAGGTTAATTATCCCCGCCCCCAATTCAGCAAAGAGGAAACTGAGGCACCGAGAAGTTCAGGACACACCCGTGACGTCACAGCCAGCAAATGGCAAGACCAGGGTTTGAACCGAGGTCTACCCAGGCCCCAGGCTGCTCCGCCTTCCTGCCAATGCTCCATTTCTCAGCTGAGAACACTGAGGTCCCGGTGGGGGAAGGAAGGTGCCCGAGGGGACCAGCCAGGCCCTTGGACGGGCTGTCAATTCCCAAAGGAGTGTCCACAGAGGGGCCCTGACCGCCCACCTGGCCCCTTGCCTAAGCCCCTGGCCCTGCTGCTCCCCGCGCCTCAGCCCCGGGAGAGCCACTTCTCCGAGTCAGGGTTTCCTCCTTTGTGTAAAGGGAGAGGGAGATCCGAAGGGGTGAGAGCAAGCAAGTGGTTCTTTGCTTCTCCTGGGTGTGGCCAGGAACCGCCCAGGGTATGGAGGGCGCCCCCTGTGTGTGCCTGGGGCAGAGCGCCGGCCGCTGGGCTTCCCTTCCCTGGCCCGAGAGGGAGAGCCCGGGTCCCTGGCTCCCACGGGAGACAGTCAGGAGAATTAGTGACGTCAGGCCCTGAGCTCAGAGATCTGCAGACAAAGGGCCTGTACATTGGGCGCAGTCAGGAAGGGCATCCACAGGGCCCGGGGCAACGAGAGGGCAGCGTCCGCACAGGACGCCTGGGCCGTTGGCACTCACCATCAAACTGGGCCGCCTCCCCGTACCCTTCCTCCTTCTTCTCCTGGAACAGTTTAAGGCAAACGCTGGGGCTCGCCAGCAGCAGCCGGAAACCCTGGCACAGAGGGAGAGAGGAGGGCTCAGGGCACGGGCTCCCCCTAGATGCAGGAGACCCCAAACTCGGGAGGGGCTTGAATCCAGAGGCCAGGACACAGGGGCACACGCAGGCCAGTCCTCCCCACCTCGGGGTCACCCACCGGCCACAAAGACTATCAAGTCCTCTAAGCTGGTTCACGTCTCCAGACCTTTGTCCTTGACTTTCTCCCTGCCTGGTGGCCCTTCCTCACTTTGTCCACCTGGGAACGCAGCCCCTTCCCAGGCTGCTTGCTCCCTGAAGGCTGTGCCCTTCCTGGCCATCTCTGCAAGGCAGTGGGCTGACGGGTTAACAAATTGGCCCAGAGCCCACGGTCTGGGTTTGAATCTTACCCTACCAGTTAACTGCCCTTCTGAGCCTCAGTTTCCTCATCTGCAAAATGGGGGCAACGAGAATGGTACCCACCTCATGGGGATTGAATGAATTAAAACACGAACACACAATGGGTGCTCAGTAACTGTTACCAATATTATCAGTGTGGATCAGAGGAAACACCCCGTAAATGTGAGAATGAGTGTATGAGTAGGGAGCGGCTGAAGGCCCTCCTGACCTGAGCTCTGACCTCCCTCCTCCAAGAAGCCCTCCAAGATTAATGCCCCTGGCCCCAAGGGTGCCTTGACTCAGAGTTCAGTGTGGATGCAGGTGTTGAGTTGGTTCCAAGTAGCTTTGCCCTGTATTGTCCCATCAGCACAGACAAGAGAAGAGGGGGCACACCTTTTGGTCCGAGGTAGGCACAAAAGTCAGGAACTCGTCCACGTGGCCCACGAAGAGCCAGTCCGAGTAGAGCTCCACGGGCGCCTGCACCTGCTGGGCCTTCAGGAAGTCCCGCACCACCTTGGCCATTCGCCGCCCGCCGGACCTGTCGGGGCAGAGAGTGGCCATCACCTCACGGTGACCTACGGGCATGGGAGTCAGATTCAGGGCCCCGGTGTCTTCCACACCTCGGATGTAGTTTTTGAGGAGGTAGCACGCCGGAAGGAGGTAGAATCTGCATTTTGACCAGCATCTTAGCGGATACGTGCATGAGCACCACCGCTCTGTTCATTTTGTGGCTCTTGAGAGGAAGTCCGAGCATTTTGAAACCACCCTTTATTAGCAGAGAGGGGAGGAGGAAGGGACTAAGAACCGGGAGCAGGGGAGCAGGAGCTGGAGTCCCAGAGCTGTGGGTGCACAGGGACCCTGTCCCTGCTTCATGGAGGTAGCAGCTGAGGTCTAGGAAGTTCACGGGGGTGACTTGTCCAAAGTCAGAACAATATATTATACTTTGGGTACTTTCCGTCTTTCCTTGGCACACATAACATGTGCAAACACATGCATAGAGGATTTATTTCAGTATGTTTTACAAAACAGAGATCACATTTCTTGCCCTTGCTTGTCGGTTTAAGGAGATATGGATGAACTCCAGACTGCATCCAATCTGGCGGTTCTACCTTAAACAGAACACATTCCAGCATTTCCCAGGCTCCTCTTCTGCAACCCCAGCCAGCGGCACCTCCTTCATCTACATAGTCCCAGTGGCTTGTCCCTTTCCCCATTCTCTCTACTTTCATCCTTGTTCCTCTGCAGTCTAACCAGAGGGAGGCTTTTAAATATGTCAGCTCATGTCCCTCCCCTGGACAAAACCCTCACATGACTCCCCTCTCACTAACTGTAAATGCAAAGTCTTCACAAGGACCTGCAGAGTCCCACCAATCCCAATGACCCCCCTCCCGACACTCTCCTCTTCATTCCCTCAGTTCCAGCCATGCTGGCCTCCTGCTGCCCTTCGAACATACCAGATACATTCCTGCCTCAGGGCCTTTGCATGTGCTGTTCTTTCTACTAAGAATCATTACCCACTTCCCATATCCCCGCGGCTCACTCCCTCACTTTTTTCAAGTTTAACTCAAATGTTACCTTCGTTCACTGTGAGGCCTTTGAAATTGCAGCAATACCTCAACCAGCTTTATTTTTTTCTACACCATTTGGTAGTATTTGGCACGCTTGATATCTTCTTTATTGTCTGGCTCCAGGATGCAAGCTCTAAGAAGGCTGGGATTTTTGTCTACGTTCACTCAGTGTCTCTTACATAGTAGATGCTAAAAAATATTTGTGAATGATATGAATTCTTTTGAACAGCTGTGTGATAGTCCTGGGTCTCTATAACTCGAAAACGTCACGGACAAAGACTAGAAGGAAGACCCAACAAGCAGTGACACATGACAACGTTGCTTTGATTTTAGGGAATGGGATTGGGGGGAATATTTTTCTTGTATTTCTATTATTTGAGTACAGTGCCAACAATTTTTAAAGATTTCTTTAAAAATCAGTGAGATGGTAGAGAAGAGTTAGACTTTAGAAATTGTTTATGAGCAGAAAGGAGCAGGAATCAGAAACACAGAAGGTTGAGGAAGGCAGAGTCCCTCCGAGGAATGCTCTGCAGCCATCTGCCTGGAGGCGGGGCCAGGAACCAGACAACAAACCTGGGGCGGCATCGGACCTGTCTCTGAGTTACATCAAAGCTGCCACCAGGAGGCAGAATTGCACAAAGATTGTTTTAAATGTGAGGGCAGCGTGATGAACCCAAGATAAAGAATGGGAGGGCATTTGTTGAACACCATGTGCCTGCCTGAGACTCTCACACCAACTATCCTTTTTAATTCTCATGATGACACTATGATATGCATACAAATGACAGGTTCCAGTCATGATCTGATTTCTGCCCTGCCAAGCTCTCGGATCTCATCCCTCATTATGCCCCCTTGCTCATTCTGCTCCAGCCCCACCGGCCTCCTTGCTATTCCTCTAATATCTCTGACATACTCCTGCCTCAGGGCCTTTGCACAGGCTGTTTCTACTCTCTTGCACATTCTCCTCTCAAATAACCACATCTGTAGCCTCTTCCTTTCCTTCAGGGCTTTTTAAAAAATTGAGTTCATTGAGGCGACATTGGTTAACAAAACCATATAGGTTTCAAGTGTACAACTCAACAAAACATCATCTACCTACTGTATCGTGCGCCCATTGCCCAAAGTCTCTTTCCATCCCCATGTATCCCCCCTTTAACGTCTTCCACTTCCCCCACCCCCCTTTCCCTCTGGCTATCACCACACTGTTGTCTGTGTCTATGTGTTGTGATATATATATATATTTCCTTCAGGGCTTTGAGTGTCAACTTCTCACCAAGGCTTTCTTTATCTAACATGCTAGATCATTTATTTACTTATTACGTTTGCTTATTGTCTGGTCTGCCCTGCTAGAATGTATGTAGATTGTCTGTTTTGTTTACTGCTGAGGTCAGAAGCCAAGACAGGAACACAGGACAGCACCGTGTGCTAACTTTTAGTTTGGGGCCCACAGAGGAGACCTGGATTCTGACTGTACCACTAACTGGCTGTGTGGTCCCAGGCAGTAATGGTCCATCTTTGAGCCTTAGGGCCCCATCTGTCCACCAAGGACTTTGTCCCCGGTTTTCAATACAATGGTCAATGGAGTGAGGGCTTGGTTGCACTGGAGACCCCAAGCCTTCCAATCTGGGGTCCTCACTCAGCCTGAGAGCTTCCAGAACATTTCTTTTATCCCCAGCACCGGGCTCCAGACCTGGCCTGTGCTAAGTCTCAATCACTATTTACCAAAGTGGTAAATGAATACGTGAGTCAGTACATTCACTGCTCTTCTCTGCGCCTCTACTTCCTCATCTGTAAATCGGGGAGAACAACCTCCCAACCAGGGAGAATTAAATTGTAAGAATTAAGTGAGGAAACCAGGGTAAAATGTTGTGTTCATGGCAGGTCGGTGATCAATAACTTTGTCCAGTGAGTTCCAGCATCCTTCAAAGTAAACCCACCGCTGGGGGGCCAGCTAAACAATACCTAAGTATTCAGAAGGTGGTTAATGGGAACTCTTTATCCCTGGTAATGCCAGTTATATAGCTAGGACAGGGATTTTTAATAGGCTCATTTTGAAGATAAGGAAACATGGGGTATAAAATAATTGTTCGGCCCTGGCTGGTTTGGCTCAGCGGATAGAGCATCGGCCCATGGACCAGAGAGACCCGGGTTCAGTTCCCACTGAGGGCATGTACCTCGGTTGCAGTTTGTCCCCAGCCCCAGTTGGGGTGGTGTGGGTGGCAACCAATTGATGTGTCTCTCTCACATCGATGTTTTTCTCTCTCTCTTCTTCCCTCTCTCCCTCCTGCTCTATCTGAAAATAAATGCAAAATAATGTCCTCGGGTGAGGATAAAATATAAAAATAAAATAATAAAACAATTGTTCATTTGATCATGTATCTTTTTGTGCATTGATATATCCCAGGTAACTTCAGTAGCACCTGGCACATAGTAAGCATGCTTTAAATCGTTTAAAATAAGTTAACTGAGCAGCTACTACGTACCAGGCACTATGGTAAACACTGGTTGAACAATGTACCTGAAATCATGTCACTAGTAAGCGGCAGAGTCTGGACTCGAACCCAAGTCCATCTGATTCCAAAACCTGTGCTCCTCCTTTCCAGTTCCTCCCAAAGCAGAATGGCTGCCCGGAGGCCACAAGGCCCTTCTGCCTTGTTATCCTAACCAGCAACTCACTCACCTGCAGCCCGTGCTGACCTCTGGGCCCTTTCAAGCTTCACTAGGACAGCAGACTTTTTGAGATCTATTCTGCACCAAGTCGCCCATCTCAGCGCTTCAGATTTCTCAAGAGTCTGGAAATCTGGCTTTCTATGGGAGGCCTCCTGACAGACAGATATACCTATTTAATTAAATATACGCATATTTAACTGCGCTCATGAAACACAAGGCAGGCCAAAAGACCATGAGTGCTCGTTTGTAAGTTTCCTCCTAAGATTCTGTGACCTTCCAAATCGAAGGTTCTAGGACCCCGAGTCTTTGGTCCTAGGATCCCATGCAGAAGTTAAGACCGTTTCTCAGACTGGAGAATTGTGTTTGCGGAGAGGGAGTTGGAGGGGGACGCTGCTGTCGGTGCCCCGTACCCTCTGCCACCCTCCCGCCCTGGCCTCTCACTTGGGGAAGTTGCTGCCAATGAGGATCCGGCCCAGGGGGTACTTCTTGCCACCCACGGTCACTGGTGGGCTGACGTCCAGGTTGCCAAAGGAGTCGAGGCCGGAGGCGCCAGGAAATGGGATTTTCCGGGTTACGTAGCCAAAATCAGGACCCTAGGGGAGGACCAGCAAGAACCCCCCCCCCCAGAAGGAGGGGTCAGTTCAAACAGGAAGAGACAGAAAAACTACCTCTATCCACTTTTCACAGATTCTCCCGTGGAGGTCCAACCCGGCAGGAGAGCAGTAGGAGACAACCACCAGGTGTCTGGGATCAGGCGACACACTTATGGAGAACCTTGGTCACCGACAAAATCAAAGTGGAGCCCTGGCCTGTTTGGCTCAGCGGTTAGAGCATCGGCCCGTGGACCAAAGAGTCACGGGTTCGATTCAGGTCAAGGGCACGTACCTTGGTTGCAGTTTGATCCACAGCCCTGGGTTGAGCGGGAGGCAACCACTCGATGTGTCTCTCTCGCATCCATGTTTCTTTTTTTTTTTTTTTAATCCTCACCCGAGGACACTCTCCCATTTTTTGTTCAGGTAGAGTGGGAGGGAGAGAGAGGAACAGAGAGAGAGAGAGAAACATCGACGTGAAAGGAACACATCGAGTGGCTGCCACCCGCACAACCGACCAGGGCCGGGGACAAACTGCAACCGGGGTACATGCCCTTAGCGGAAACCGAACCCCGGTCTCTCAGGACCGCAGGCCGACGCTCTAACCGCTGAGCCAAACCGGCCAGGGCTCGCATCCATGTTTCTTTCTCCCTCTGTCTCTCACCCTCCCACTCTATCTGAAGATCAATGGAGAAATATCTTCAGGTGAGGGTTAAAAACAAATCAAAGTGGAAATGAGACAATGTTTTGAACTGAAAGGTAATGAAAACACAGCACATTAAGCTCGTGCGGTGCTAGTGAGGCTGACCCTCTAGGGAACGGCTGAGCTCGAAACACACGTGGTAAGAAGAGAAAGGATCGGAAACTCTGAGCTTCCGTTCCAGCTAGGGGGAAAACAGCAAGTTAAATCCAAAGACACTAGAAGGAAGGAAATGATGAGATGATAGCAGGAACCAGGGGAAGATGCCCTGGCCAGGTCAAACCCTTGACGCAGACTCACCCTGAAGGGCTCATTGTCCCTTTGCTGGGTCTCATCCCTAAACCCACTAGGCTGGGTGACTGTCCTTACTCCGTGTGCCTGAGCTCCCAACTTCCCCATCACAGCCCCCACCCAGACATGGGTTATTCAGGCAGTGGGGCGTGGGGGCTGGTAAACAGGCAGAGACCCCGGGAGTCCGGACCAGCCTCGTTTAGCCCAGCAGTTAAGCACAGGACCCTAGGGGAGGACCTATGGAGGCAGTCTCTCTGGTTCTGCATCTTGGTGCCACCACTAACTAGCTGTGGCCCTGGCAAGTCACCTAAGCCCTCTGAGCCTCAGTAAAGAGAAAGTTTAGCTGTGCCCCCTGGGTGAAATGAGTAACCTTGCAGAGCTGGGCAGTGCCTGGAACTCAGGACACGGTTGCTCGAGTCGCTCTTGTGTGTGGGAAACAGCACATGTCCGGCACACAGTAGGTGTTCAGAACAGCTTTGTTATCTGAAGACAGGTCCCGGCTCATAAAAGCAAGAGCCTTGAGGACTCACTGACGGTGCATTCCCCTCAAAAGGCAGTTTGGGTTCCCCAGGGCTGACCCCTCTGTCGGCTCCTCCCCTTTGGGGGAGGTAGGCCTCCAAGGAGGACTTGGCTAGCCAGCCCCTCCTAGAACATGGGGCAATTTGCATGTCATTTGCATTTCGGCTCAAACCTCCGGCTGACATCCCCTTTGCTGCAGCCCACCACCTGTGTCCTTTTGACCCCTAAAGGACCAGGACCAGACGAAACTGATCAGGTCCTACAGGAGGAGCCACCCAGGGGTTTCCCACCGCCCTTTGCCACATACCAGGATCCTCTTGTAGGCGAAGCCCGTCAGGCCTCTGTCTCGGGGGGAGTCAAAAACCACCGGGAAGGATTTGTGAGGTGCCTCCACATAGCCAAATTCCATCTCGTCCTGGGAAGGGAGACAAAAAGACCACAGAGACCTCCTTGGCGTGGTTTTTCAGAACAGGGTGATTCCCCCAGGCCTGGGGCAAAGTGGGTCAGCAGAACCTCCCCAGGATCAGGGGGCTGTGGGGGAGGGGGAGGGGAGGCCCCTTGGGACTCCACCCAGGAGAGTACTCTGTCTGGGACCAGGACATTTAGAGGGAAGCCGGAGAAACTGGGGTGATGCAAGCAGAGGGAAGCATTCCCCTCCCCTGCACCCCAACCCTGAGTCCTGGAAGCCAGGAGGCATGGCTTCTGTAGAGGCAGCTAGGACCCCGTGCAGGCCCCCTTCCCCAAAGCCAGGTGGAGGACGGGCTCAGACCCCCGGCCCCTCTCCCAGGGCCTGCGCCTGCACCCACCTGGATCCAGCGGTCACCTCGATTTTCAATCGAAGGGCAGATGATCAGTTTGCAGTTGGCTTTCGACACCAGGTCAGACATGTCCTCCAGAAATTTCTCATTTGAGCCATGAGAGTCAACCACACTGCCAGACAAAGGGAGAGGGAGGGTACTAACGGCCTCCGACCACGGCCTTGTGGCCTCGATCTAGTCTGCGCTGGATTCTGGGTGGCCCCTGGATGCAGGGGGTCAGCACAGTCCCTGCCTTAAACAGGCTCACAGGCTAATGACAGAGACGGATAATGTCCCCATGTCCCATCAGGTGACAGGTGCAAGGCGAGGGTCAAGCGCAGGGCTGCAGAGCCCAGGGGTGGGGCCCTGAAGCGAGCAGGGGCAGCCTGGAGGAGGCGGCCCGAGGATTGGATCTCAGTGGCTAAGGGGGGTTGAGGGGGCGGGTAGCCCATCTACTCCTGTTCTACACAACCGACCTTAACAAAGGAGTCGGGTGGGTTAGTGAGCACAGGGGAAGAAAGAATTCCCTCTGACCACCTGCACACAGCTGGGCCCAGGTAAGCAGAGCAAACCTGTTGGCCACTCCCTTCCCTGCCTTTTGACTTATGTTCCAAGTCAACCGTGGCCCTTTCCACTGGTCTGACCCCGGATGCAGGGGCCCGCAGTGGCCTTGCCAATCGAGGCTCACCTGGCCATCAGGGGCCTGACGGGGTCCCGAGAGATGGCAGGAGGACCAGGAACCTGGGTTGGGTCAGTGGGCCCCGGAGTCTGGGTTCCCATGTTTTCTGCAGGCCCGGAAGCACCCCCACATCAGAGAGAGGCTGGGTCTCCTGCAGCCTGAACAGGGCCTGGTTCCACTGCCTAGACTGAACCCCAAATGTTTGCATGACAGGGTAGGGCGGGGCACTGTGGGTTGAGTGAGTGACCTCAACAGGGCCTTAGTTGCTCAGGGCAGATGGGCTGACAGGCCCAAGGCCACCCGCTGCCATCCTGCTCCCAGCTCGTGCCCATGGGTGCCCTCCATGAATCCATCCCGTCTGAGTAAGGGACCAATCGCAGAACAGCATTCTGTTCCTATCTCCATGACTCCAGAGACGGTAGGGGAGGCACCTCACCTGCACACATACAGCTCCAGGGGGAGCTGGGTGTTGGGGGTCATGATCCAGGGGGCCATGCGGAAGGCCACAGTGTCTGTGAAGATGGGCACCTCGGGCAGGGTCTGGGGGAAAACAAGGCATCAGTGGGCCTGCAGGGAGCCTCATTAGGCTTCAAGATCCCCTGGCCCCCAGCCTGCCCAGCCTTGGAGCCTCCAAACTGGTCCCCCAAGCCCTTCAGCCACTATCCCAGCCCCCAATGCTGTACATACCCCTGTGTCCACCAGGCTGACGCTGAGAGAGACCATCCCCGAGAAATCAACATCGGGGAAGGTGAGACCCTCTACGTAGAAGCTGATCTTCTGCTCCCCTGGCTGCCGTTCAACTTCGTAGGACAGATGCTGGGGACCCAGCACCTGCTTGTAGTCTGAGAGGGAGTTCCCACCTAGGGGAACCGGAGTGAGCACTGGGGGCCAGTATTGCGACAGCGTGTGGGGCTGTAAGGACAGAGGAGAGGAAACCAGGGGCACAGCCACCTCCGTGCTTGATTTACTGGGGCTCCTCTCCAGCTCTGCCACACACCAGCTGTGTGACCTCAGCTCAGTGACTCAACTTCTCTGAGCTTCACATCCTCATCTGTAAAATGGGCTAACGTCGTATTTCTCACGAGGTCACTATAAGCTTTAAACCCGACAAGAAAATAAAAGCAGCACAAAGGTGAAAACAGCCCCTTTGTCCATCCTCAGATGAACCGACGAACTGTAATACGTCCATACGGTGGGCCACTATCCAGGCATGAAAAAGAGATGAAGTACTGGTGGATGCTGCAACTTGGATGAACTTTGAAAGCATTAAGCCCAGTGAAAGGACTCAGACCAAAAAGGCCACACACGGTATGATGCCATGTAGATGAACAATCCAGAAGCAGCGAATCCAGAGACAGAAGCAGACTAGTGGGGGCCCGGAGCTAGGGGGCGGGGGGGGGGGTACCTGGTGGTGAGCAAAGGGTTTTATCTGGGGGGTGATGAAAATGTCTTGGAGCCCTGGCCTGTTTGGCTCAGCGGTTAGAGCGTCGGCCTGTGGTCCGGAGAGACCCGGGTTCGGTTCCTGCTAAGGGCACGTACCTCGGTTGCAGTTTGTCCCCGGCCCTGGTTGGTCGTGCGGGTGGCAGCCACTCGATGTGTCCCCTCACGTCGATGTTTCTGTTTCTCTCTCCCTTCCTCTCTCTCCCTCCCACTCTATCTGTACAAAAAAATGGAAAAATATCCTCGGGTGAGGATAAAAAAAAAAAAAAAGAAAATGTCTTGGAACTAGAGGGAGGTGTTGGTTGTACAACGTTGAGCATGTGTTCAATTCTACGGAATTGTTCACTTTAAAATGGTTAGGCTGATGTCATGGAAATTTTACCTCGCTTTTAAAAAATTGAGCAGTCGTCCTGGCTGGGTGGCTCAGTTGGTTGGAGCGTCACCCTGCACACCAAACGGTTTCGGGTTCAATCCCCGGTCAGGGCACATACCCAAGTTGTGGGTTCATTCCCCCCTGGGGTGTGTATGGGAGGCAACCGATGATCAATGTTTCTCTCTCACATGGATGTTTCTCTCTCACGAATCTATGATATTCACTCTCTCTCCCTTCCTCTCGCTCTAAAAATCAACAAAAACATATCCTTGGTGAGGATTTTTTAAAAATTGAGTAAAATAAAAAAATGTCGTTGTTCCTCCCACCTCCCTCTCTCCTCCCCTGACGGCTGGCGGGGAAATGTCGCCGGGCGCCTCCAGTCACAGCAGGAAATGCGGGCCGTCCACTCCCGAGACGCCTCTGTCCAGGTATCAGTGCTCCCAGGCCAGGCCTCTGCCTGACGTCCACCCCGACGCATTCGGGGAACATCCGGGGCCTGGCCAGGCCCACTGAGCCAGAACAACAGGTTCTGGTCTGTCTGAACAAAAACACACGACGAGGAAGAAGGAAGGAGCAGGAGAGGCCTCTTGCCATTTATAAAAATGAGTAAGGGCACTTCAGGGTTAAGGAGTGGTGTTGTTTTAAGCCACGGACTTTGATGAATTGAATCTCTGGTGGAACAGAGTTCCCAGGGCAGGCCTGGGCCTCAGCTCTGCTGGTTCCCGCCCCGCCGCACGCTGCCTGGACAGTGCTTGTCGGGGCACCGAGGACTCATTCCGTGCTCAGGGACCAGAGAAGGGAGGAGGAGAGGCAATGAGGACGGAGGGAAGAAAAGGGGGTTTGGCTCTCAAGAGACCTGGGTTTGAATGCCTGCTCCACCCCCCAAATGGTCGTGTGACCTGGAGACAGGAATTCATGCACCTGGGCCTCAGTTTGTCCCTCTGGAGGATGGGATTAGTTGCTGAACCTTCTTCTCGGGTAATGCGTTGTGTCTGGATGGAGTGGCTGTTTAAGCTGTCACGGGTTACGACAGGTGACAGAGGGAACGGAGACAGGCGGACAAGAGAAAGAAGAGTTTGGGAAGCAGAGGGTGGAGCAGGGCAGGAAGGGGCCCCCCCGGGCCACTCACCCCGAGCACAGAAGACACCCACTCTTTTGGAATCAGAAAACGGCACATGCAAGACCAGCTTGTGGTTGTCAAAGAGTCCGTTGGGGCCATCACACGTCAGCACCATTGGGGACATGTCCTTCAGGTCTGAAGAGAGCGGCACCCTTGAGACGACCCTCCCTCCACCCCGCGGACAGGCTCCCCTCCCTCCCCCCGCCCCTTTGCCGCCCCGCACCACCACCCTGGACAACAACATATGTCCCTCTGTCACTCACCATCCAGGGACGTCAGCTGGCTGTCGTCGAGGTCAAGCCCCCTGGACTCGAGACTGTCCCGGTCACAGTTCACCAGCAGGACAGCCCCGTGGCCCTCAGGGCCCCAGCGCCAGGTTTTCTGTGATAAACAAGAGACCTTGGGGTCCGTGGGACCAGGGGGCTCTGGGAGGGGGTTCAGGATGTGGCTAAGGCTGGCTGCATCCTGAGCTTGTTTAACGATGTACAGAGGGCTCGTCGCTGTGGGGACTCTAGAGCCAGCCTCTCGGCCCTCACGCGGTGAACAGCTCGTACCACGGTTCGCGGCGGCCCCAGCGCCGGTCCCGAGCTCCGGCCCTGCCCTGGGGCAGAGACTGCCTCGTCCTGACCTTGATGGGACTGGACAGTCCCGGAAGACCCTCCGCATCCCAGCACCCCCTGGGATCTGTCCACCCGCAGCCCCGCCGGCTCTGCACAAGTTGGCGGGGTTGGAGAGGAGGCGGGAGGGATGGCCGGACCCAAGTTCCTCCTGACGCACCCCTGTTTTCCCCCCACCGGACCTCACAGTGCGGGCCCTTTCCCATTTCACAGAAGAGGGGAAACGGGCTGTGGGCAGTGAGCCCCAAGTTACGTCGATGGGACTCAAGCTCAGGTCTGGGGACCGTCCGGGGCCACTGCTAGCAGCTATGACGCTGTGCTCGCCCTCTGGGTGGGGGCTGCCCGGCGCCGGGGCCCCACTCGCCACCTTGCCAAGCAGATGCGAAGTGAATGACCGCAAGGCCGTCCATGGCAGCCCTGCCCGTCATGTCCACCAGCCCTGGGACCCCGGCTTCCTCTCTGGGGCCTTCCTCTGCAAACTACATCTTCTACCTCCCGGGATGGCTTCCGGATACTTCCCGTGGGGTAATGCCTTGAGCCCGCCCGCCCCATCCTCCTCCTCACTCTTTGGGGTCCACCCAGCCTGGTCTGCCCTTTGCTTTTGTGCAGTCACTCAACAACCTTTCCTGCAGCACCTACCATGTCTGGGGTTCCAAATACAGCCTATGAAATAGAAAACACATCGAGCACAAGAACCAGTTCCAATTGTAAGGTGCATAAGAGAGACCCAGAGAGGGTAAGCTGTTTTCCAGAAGTCACACAGCACAGCCGTCACGCAGTGTAGAGATAACTCCCACTTGTGCTGATCTGACAGCCCTCAGATGGGTTCCCTACACTGCTGGATACCACAGACCCTAGGAACCCATCACCCTTCTGGATCACCCCACCACACCCCAGGACCATCCCCAGGGCTCACCTTGTCGACGTGGCTCCGCTTAGCCTTCCCCTTGCGGCCCGTGTCAACATCGAGGGAGATATCTGAAAGGGATGGAGGGGGGCTGCCAGGGGCTCGCCCCATCTCGTCTTCACGTCTATTCTATTCAGGAGGAGGAAGGCGTTGCCCCCTCCCCAGGCCCATGAGAACGAGGAAGCCCAGTTCTGAGAGGCCTTGGGACAGCCCCATGTGGTGCTGGGTGTGGGAGGGACCCATGTCTTTGTGTCTTAAATTTCTTGCTCATCTTCACGTGCTGATTTGCTAGCTCTTGGTGCCTGGACTCTGGCTGGGGCTAGGTCCGAGGCTCTGGGTGCTGGTTTTGTAGTTCTCAGAGACTGGGGCTCAGGCTGAAGGGGCGCGTGGCCGTCCAAGGCTCAGAGCTGGGCTGTGGTGTTCCAGTGGTGTGGCAGGTGGGACCCCAGATGAGAGAGGCCCATTGTGAGCCTAGCTATGGACACGTGGTAGTGCCGTTTCTAGATTCCCATGGCCTAAGTGTTGCTGGGTCTCCATCTCTGATGCTCTAGGGAGCCACACCCCTCAGTGGGGGAGGAAGCTGGCCATGGGCTTGTACTCAGGGCTCCCCTAAGACCCTCAAAAGCCAACACGGAGGAGCACAGGGATATGCGGAGCGCCGGGGAGGCGGTACATACCGACACCAGTGAGGTAGAGCACACTGTGGCCCAGGGCACTGTCCTCATACTGCCTGAAGTAGGAGACCTTCACCTGTGGGGACATGGTCAGCCCTAAGCCAGCACGACCCCTTCAGAGATGGCAGTACCAGGGGATGGGGGGGGACCCACACTCCCAACAGCCCTGCTCAGAGGCAGGGCAGGCGTGGGGGTCCCTGAAAATCCACGTCTCACAGGCCCCAGGCTTGGACTCTGAGCTGCCTTCTCTCTAGAGAGGCTGTGGTGCCTCCCTGGCTTCCCAGTCTGGGCAGAGGGGCAACGAGGGCTGAGCAGGGCGAGGGCAGACCCCAGAGGGAGCAGCAGGACCCTCAGGAACTCATGGGGGATGTCAGAGAGAAAGAACAAGAGAAGGAACATCTGTCGCCATTGACTTAGGCAAGTTACTCAAGGCCTCTGTTTTTCCGCCTATAAAATGGGAACAATGACCTCCACCCCATAATAAGAGCCAGTGGTCATGAACTCTCCTCAGGGTCCAGAACCTATGCAAGTGCTCTATCCAGGCCATTTCCACTGTCCCCCAGAATGGCCCCAGTGGACAGGGCCCATTCATAATGAGGCTGCTCAGGGCCTGGCCTGCAGGCAGGTAGCTAGTAAGCAGAGGAAGTAAGACTTGAGCCCATGGGGGGCTCCAGGGCTCTCCCTGCTTTGTCCCTGTCCAATCAGTGGGTCACTGTGTGTGTGGTGGGTGGCTGAGGGCAAGTGAGGACGGTGTCATCTGTGCAAGAGAAGCCTTCCCGATTCTTTAGGTGTGAGAGACACATGACATCCAGGTATGTACCTGTGTCTGCACAGGTGTATGTGCACAGGTGTGTGTGCACAGGTATGTGTGCACAGGTGTGTGTGCACAGGTGTGTGTGCACAGGTGTACCTGCACAGGCGTGTGTGCACAGGCATGTGTGCACAAGTGTACGTGCACAGGTGTACATGCACAGGTGTGTGTGCACAGGCATGTGTGCACATGTGTACATGCACAGGTGTGTGTGCGAAGGTGTACGTGCACAGGCGTGTGCACATAGGTGTACATGCACAGGCATGTGTGCACACAGGTATACCTGCCCGGGTATGTGTGCACAGTTGTATGTGCACAGGTATGTGTGCACAGGTGTGTGCACACAGGTGTACATGCACAGATGTGTGCACACAGGTATACCTGCCCGGGTATGTGTGCACCGGTGTATGTGCACAGGCATGTGCGCACAGGTGTACATGCACAGGTGTGTGTGCACAGGCATGTGTGCACAAGTGTACGTGCACAGGTGTACATGCACAGGCATGTGTGCACAAGTGTACGTGCACAGGTGTACATGCACAGGTGTGTGTGCAAAGGTGTACGTACACAGGCATGTGCGCACAAGTGTATGTGCACAGGTCCTGCCTACACAAGAGTGGGGGGCTTGTTTGGGGGTCTGTGTGTAGGCAAAGCACAGGGTTAGTGTGGGGATGATTGTGGATCTGAGTGAGGAGGAGGCAGACTGTGTCATTACGGGAGGATTCATTCATGTGTGTGTGTCGTGTTGGGCACTGGGGTGGGTTTACATGAGTGGGCTGTTTGTGGAATTGTGTGTATGTGTCATGTGGATGCAGGTGTCAAACCCTTTTGGGATTTGGATGAGGGGGGTAATATGTGAATGAGGTTTGCTTTGGGGGCTCTTACCTTGAATGCGGTGGGGAGATGCAGCCGTTTACTGTGGGGAAGGGCCTCTTACCTTGAGATCATTTAAGGCCTTACTGGCTGCGTTCACGGATACGGTCACTTCCACGTTGGCGTCCAGGGGCCAGGGGTCCTTGCTTACGGGCTCTGTCGCCTGCGCTGGGCCATAGACGACCAAGAGCTCTACCCCGGAGCTCCCAGAGACCCTGAAGCTCTCAGCGCCCTTGGGCACGTGGCTGACAGAGAAAGGAGGGAGGGAGGGGCCAGGGTTCAGGGGAGCGACCACAGCAGGGTAGCGGTTGGGCAGCCAGGCCACCCAAATACCACCCCAACAGCTGTCCTGACCCTCACGGGACCCACCTCGCCTCAGTGTCCCCTCCTGTAACACGAGGGCGGAGCAGAGCAGTGGTGCTGGGCTTTGTTTACGTGGCAGAGCCCTTTCAGTAGACCTCCCTGGAGCCCGAGACATCACACCAAAGGGAGCGGGGGATGGGGCCACGGTGGTCACCCCTCGAATCTCACAAAACCCCGAGACTCCAGACGGCAAAGTTCCAGATACCCCCGCTCCCACCCCCGGGTTTCCTCCCACGCTGCCAATAGGAAGCCCACTTGGCCAACCGCCCCCAAGAGCATCCCCGCTGCCCTGGACGGCTGGGCGGCCTCCTCCTGTCTCCCTAAGCCTCCAGAGCCCCCCTGTCCTGCCCTGCTTCATCTTGCACTCCCCCTGTGCTGAGCACTGTGCTAAGCCCCTGGGTCCCCCAGGCCCTGGGCCAGGTGAGCTCGTGGCCCAGAGAGGAAGTCAGACGAGGGAACACGTCGGTGTTGCTCCCTCTTGCATGTCAGGGCAGAGCCATCCGCCTCCAGCTCACCACCCAAGGTCGAGTCCACCTACAAACACCAACCTGACTGCAAAATGCCAGGCCAGAGGGTTCCTTCGATATATCTTCCTGCCTCCGTCCTTTCCTGGACCCCTGAGAACCCACCCAAATGTGAAACCCTCTGGAGAAATCAAACACCCCTCCTTAGTCCCCACCACGGCCATGCTGTCCTCACCTGACAACTCCTTCCATTGAGAGGGTGACGATGGCCACAGTTACAACAACCCCAGCCCCACGCAGTGCCTGGCTCTGGTGCTCACCATGGCCCCGCAGGCGGTATTATTTCCCTCATTTTACAGTGGAGCGGGGGTGGACAGGGGCCCCCAAGCCCCAAGGGCACCCACACTCATGGCCCACCATCTCCTGGGCCGTGATACCCTCAGGAACCCTCCACTTTCCATGACCTTCCTCACTGTTTAATCAGTTGACATGAAAACCCAATTTCCTAACTCTCACCCTCTAATCTGACCCCGGCTCCCGTCCTCCCCGACTCCCGGTCCGTCTCACGGTGGCCTGCACATCTCGGACTGTCCTTGACCTTCCCGCTCTAACAGAAACCCACCCCTTGCTGCCCGCACGGTCTCCCCGAAACCCTCTCAATGGTGGCTGTTTCTTCCTCCTTCCCTCCTACCACTGGGCCTGGAGGTGGGCAAGGGTCCGCCTTGCTCCTCACTGTCACTCCCAGGTCATCGTCACTCTGTCCTCATTTCTTGAGGGTGCCAGCTCCCGCCACTGTTTCCAGAACGGTGTCCCCCAGCCCCTGGCCTCTCTTCCAGTGATCCTGTTCTGCGCGCAGCCTCAGCCGCCCTGTCCTGGGGGCCAGCCGGACTTCGTCGTTACCGAGGGCCCACCCGCTACAAACTGCCCTACTAGCAATGCTCCTTCCCTCTCGCCCATCCAGCCCCTCGGCAAACCTTCCCCACGCCCCAGAGGTGACGACTCCCCCACCTGACACCTCGGTGCACGTGGAATTTACAACAGGCTGGTCTCCGGCTGCTCGCATCCGCCCCCAACACAGCCCCGGAGGGAGCCTCTTAAAACAGTCACCCAATGGTCCTCCTGCTCATGACCTTTCCTCGGAGCCTCTGTCCTCTGCCCCACGCTGGCTTCGGGACCTCGCGGTCCCCTCCCCTTCGGTCCCACAGACCCAGACCTTTGCTCTCCCTCCACCTTCCCAGCTCCCACCTCAGGCCCTGGGCAGTGCGGTTCTCCCTTCCCCTCGCCAATACCTGGCTGCCTCCTCATTCCTTCTAGACAGGCCTTCCCGGCTGCCTATCAAGACAGCGTGACATGCCCTGGCCGGTTTGGCTCAGCGGTTAGAGCGTCGGCCTGCGGTCCAGAGAGACCCGGGTTCGGTTCCCGCTAAGGGCATGTACCTCGGTGGCAATTTGTCCCCGGCCCTGGTTGGGTCGTGCGGGTGGCAGCCACTCAATGTGTCCCTTTCACGTCGATGTTTCTCTCTCTCTCTCTCTCTCCCTCCCACTCTATCTGAACAAAAAATGGAAAAATGTCCTTGGTTCATTTTTAAATTAAAAAAAAAAAAAAGATAGCGTGACGTGAATGACATCATGAGCCCACACTCCCAACCCTGTGACCCAGCTTCATTTGAACCCATGGCACTTGGCACCCGCCATGTTTACCTGATGCTTCTCTATTGCCCATGCCCAGCTCGGTGCTTGGCGTGGACCTGGACACCATGAACCCTTGCTTTGTGCGTGGGGACAGAGCGACCCAGAAACGGGGACCGCCCAGCTGGGAGAGGGTTGGCTCCAGTGTGCCCGGCCCCAGAGCCCTTGCCCGCACATCCCGAGAGCAAGTAGGCGAGAGCCCGTGGCAACCAGCTGGTGGAAGAGGCTTTCCAGCTCGTGGGAGACCCCTGCCCCACCCCAGCCAGGGGTGCCATCACCAGGCACAGCCTTTCAGAGGGGTGAGGGGTTTGGGGGAGCTAATCCCCAGTTTTGGGCAAAAGTTAGCATTTCCAAGTCACAGCCTTGGCCACGCAACCCCCTATTTGGAGTCTTGGTAGAAAACAGTAACAGTAGTAACAACGATGATGATGATGGAAGAAGATGGGGAAAGAACCAGTAAACTCTGGGGCTCTCGGGACCTTCCAAGCCTGGCCTGCCTTCCTGCCCCCGCCTTGCTCGGCAGCTCACCCCTCCCTGGGGTGCTGGGAGCCTGGTGTCGGCTTCCAGCTCCCTGCAGGTGCTAGGTGAGTCCCTACGAGGATGGGACGGGCCTTGGGGAAAGGTGGCTTCCTGCAGGGGGCACCTGATGGGCGGGGCTGTGGCCCAGGTCTGACCTGTCCTCTGGGGGGGCCTGAGTCCTGTCCCCCGCCTTCCAGGCCCCTGTCACCTTCATCCAGGTCACTGCCTCGCAGGGGGAAAAGGTGCAGGAGCACTGAGGCCACCCCGCAGGACCCTCTGGGACAACAAGGAAGGGGCTGTGGCTTCCCACCAGCGCCCTGGCTCCCGGGGCTCACACTGCCTCTCCTCGCTGGCTCCCAGATCTGTGGGGCACGGCCATGGCATAAGGGCTGCTCTTGGGAGTGGACCAGGCAGGCATGGGAGTTTGGGGTGAGCCCCAGGGTGCCCCCAGTGGGTATGCCTCACCAGCTCTCTGACCTTCTCCACGAGAGCTCCTAATCCATGCTGCCCCACAGATTCGCTGGTGCAGCCCCAGACACAACTAAAGCCCCTAGGGCCACCCTGGTGTGCCCCCAAACTCACAGTCAGGCCAAGTAATGGACTTGAAATACCCTTTGCATGAAAGGAACGACCACCCGGGAGGTGGAGCCGCCCTGGCAGTGTGGCCATCATGTCCATGGTGACGCTGAGCCTGTGTCCCTTCCTGCCCTCTGCACCCCAGTGCCCTTCCCCCACCTCTGTGTGAGGGGCCACCGTTTGCATTCCTGAAGACCCCTTCAAATGCCACCTTCTCTGTGGAGCCGGCTGTGGGCTCTGTGGAGTGTGGCCTCACAGCCTGTCACCCAACTGCTCGGAGCCTCGATTTCCCTTCTCTGTCACATGGATAAAATCCTAGAGAGAAACACTGATCAGCCGCCTCCTGCACGACCCCCCCCACCACCACCAGGGATTGAGGCTGCAACCGGGCATGTGCCCTGATCGGGAATCGAACCAGGACCTCTCAGTCCATGAGATGACACTCAATCCACTGAGCCACACCGGCCGGGCAGATTCCATGAATTTAAAGTGTTCGGCACACAGTAGGTGCTTAGTAAGTGTTTCACGGTTCCTATAACTTCCTCCCAGAGCCCAGCCCACGCAAGCCACAGCCCCGGGTCCTTTCCCCCGCCCCACGGCTCTGGGGCAGATCTTCCTTGGGGCCCTTCCCAGGCCACCAGAGCAGCTTCCTGCCCGACTCACCCGCCTCGTCCCTGCACCGGCGCCCAGAGCAGGCCCGTGGCCTCCGGCCAGTGAGGAGGGACAGGGAGACGGAGCCGGGTCTCAGAGCATCTCACAGGAGGAGGCGCAGAGGGTGGGACAGGGAGCTGTACATCGACAGGTGATTCTCAGCCATGCCCGCCTGCTGTGGCAAGGCAGGTGTCCGCTCACCCATGAAGGCATAAGGTTAGCACGCTTCACAGGGGATATCGGGGTGGGGTCTACTGGGGTGGTGTTTTCAAGTGTCTACTATATATGCCAGGCACAGCCTCAACTAAAAAAAATTTCTTTTTCTTTATTGATTTTAGAGAGAGAGGAAGGGAGAGGGAGAGAGAGATAGAAACATCGATGAGAGAGAACATCGATTGGCCGCCTCCTGCATCCCCCCACTGGGGATCTGCCCACAACCTGGGCATGTGCCCTGACCCGGAACCAAACTGGCGACCTCTTGGTGCATGGGTTGATGCTCAACTGCTGAGACGCACCGGCTGGGCCACATGCTCAATTTTTGATACCTGTGATCTCATCCATACATCACAACAACCCTCCCAGGTATATGTTATTGTCCTCATTTGGCCAATGAAGAAATCTCAGAGAGGTTGAGTAACTTCCTGAGGTCACACAGCTGGCAGAGGAAGGAAGAAGCAGCAGGTTTGTCTTCTCCTGTATGCTGTCCTGGCTGACATTAAAATGAGCCCGTGTGCCCTGAGCATGACCCCGGGGGACCAGAAGATGGAGGAGGAAAAAGGAAAGGGTTAACCTTTGCAGCTCAGATTCCTCCATGTGGTTCCGAGGGAGCTGGTGGGGACGGCCCAAGGCGGGATGCAGGGCACCCAGCCATGTTCCTTCCTCCCCGTCCACGCACCTGAGCCTCACAGGGGGGAGGCCAGCACAGGCCAAGAAAACAGTGCTCGTGACCTCCTGGCCCCGCCTGCCGGAAGACGATGAGGTATC